AGGTTTGGCGATGGGAAAGCCGAAGGCGACGTGAGGAGCCTCGGCAGCGTTGAAATCGGCCGAACGTGCGAACTCCGAAAATCGGGTTGTACGCGAAGCAGTCAACCCCGATAAGGAATTCGGGAAAATTCCTTACAACGGCGCAACTGTATAACAGTTGCGCTGCGTCGCTTGGGTTGCCTTGTTACAGTCGCGCTGGCGAGACTTTTCAGCTTCGGCAAGGGCGCGATATCCTTCCGTGCCCCACATGTCAGTTTCGCGTCCTGTAGACGATGACTCCTGCTGTCGATTCGACTCTTGAGCTGCCATGCGGGTCGCAACCGCTGTGTTCGGTTGCGGCCCGTTGACTCGCCACCAGGTTCAAATTCCTCGCTATGGCGAGCCCCTTTAAACACACTTCGAACAGTGCACTCATAATAAAAGCATACAAACATATTCTCAACACGGAGATGCGCGGTCCGAAAAGAAAGAGGCTATGATACCAAGTGTTACGGGTGCAATGAATCGAAGTAGCGAGAATTGCACTAAGGTGTCAAACGAGTACAAAGATGTGAGCGAAGGCATGATCGAACATTTATATGCGAAACATGCAAACGGTAACGCGGTGCGTGCGAGCTAGCTAGTGCTATGCTGGCAACGAGGCTCTGGCTAGTCCCGAAGCGTAGGCCGACGCGGCCGGGCCAGCAGTGCGAGGTTTGGCAAAACGGTACGCGCGAAGTTGGCGAAGTCCCGTTAGCAGCAACAGGCGAACAACGGCTGTTGCTGTACGCGATGTAGTCGGGCTCCGTAAGGAATGTCGAGAAAATTTCTTACACATACCGTATGATACCGTATGCCCCACTCCACTCCACCAACGATATTAGACTGCTTTTTCTTTCCAATGCTATAGCAGTGCTGCCTTCTGCATCACCTCATAATAAACATGTCGGTTGCACAGTACAAGGTAAATCAATCAATTTACGTACTCTAAATAAGGCACAGCAGCTTGCGGGCTTGAAAGTACGTACACATTGGCGAAGAGCAGAGTCAAAAACGATTTCACTTCGGGGGGGTATCACACAATTGTGACATTCCACAATGGTGGCAGTGATTGTAGTCATCAGCTGCGTACACAACCAGAGGTTTGTTTCCCTGGGCTCCTCGCTTCTCGACCAATACCCAATACTGCACGTATGCATGCACGCCACAGGGTTCCTTACCATCATCGAGTTACGTGATACAATGGCACACACGTAGTTCCCGCAAGAAAGCAAACCGGACTTAATAAAAAAGGAGTTGCAAAAGCGAATTCGATTTCTAAACTTGTTTCTGTATGGCTGGAGCACCCTGCTGCACAAGCTTAAGCGTGGCTTTGTGCTGAATCGTCAACGAATCCCGTCAAGTTCACGATTGTGCTGACAATCGAAGTGACAAAATGACAGCGCTGAATATTCACAGATACTCTGCAAGGAGCCTAAGCACTTGGCTATCTGCAGAACATGACTTAGCAGTAGGTTGGAAGCCTAACGGAACCGAAAGAAATACCGGACGGATAACCCACCGCACGGGGTCAGCAAGCAGCCCAGCCTGATATCTGGCCTGGTGTTAAGTGTTAGTATCGAAAAATCTAAATTCACCTTAGAGAACACAGCCAGGCCCTTCGTAGCCTCATTGCATGGCACAGGCATCCACATAGCTGCATTCGTGTAAATCCTCCATGTCGTATTTCCCGTCACTGGAGGGAGAGAGGGACAGGCAACGGTGCAACGGAAGAATGCGATTGGAAATGAAGTCGTGTGCCTAAGAGTGTTCCCGCAATGGAATCCGAAGATGCTTCGGACTGCCAGAAAAACAACTGTCTGTGCTGGCAAGTTAGGGTCAGTGATGTCACACTGATGGGAGCGCCGGATCCTGTCGCTGACTGGAGTGCGAATTGTACCTTGGGTCGTACTCTCGCACTGATGTGAGCGCCAAGCCAAGCTCATCTCGCCATCGCAGCTTCCTCTGCCGTGGGCTCTTCCCGTGAGTCTCCCCTTCCAGCGAAGCTGCTGCTGCTGCTGCTGCCCTCGCGATCAAGACAGGTGAAATCCCGCCTGAACATGCCTGTTTTCCGAAAACGGGCGCCATCAAAGGTCGCATCGCGTCTACAAGGATTGGGGAGTTGGCTTCGTTGTAGGAATGAGCTGCTTCGAGGAAATCAAGGCACGCTGTGGCTCCAGACTCAGATTCGTCGCCTCGCAGTTCTGTTGATCCCCCGCAGCAGGGGATAATAGAAGGCAAGGAGAAAGGGAATAAAGTGGGCGGAGCCAACGACCAGGTTTCGGTGAGAGTGAGAGTCATGTTCGCTCACGGGATGCGATACTACTCTGTCAGGCACTTTTCCGTCTGCAAGGCATAATCTGCAGAGCGTTTACCACCCTCGTTTGTGTGCCCAACCGGACTCTGAAGGTGATATAACCATCAGCTTTGCATGACAATGGAGGAAGGAGGCATCAGAAATTTGTGAGCTGTTGAAGGTGCAGCCTGCAGGCCGGGAAATGAATTGGAGGAAGGAAAATTCTCGACAGCAATTGGGGGAAGGAAATGGCGGGAACAATTTCACGCACCTGATTGACGGCAGCTGCGAAAGTGTTGCGGCCTGCTTGGAAATCCCGAAGGGGTTCCATCACAAATTTCAGCTCAACTCAAAATTCGCCGCGTCTCGAGATGACATTTCGAAACGGAAGGTGTTGCGCGTGTGACGTTACAGCTGGTTGGGGGAGGGGGTCGAGATGACATGTGTTGGCCAATCAGGAACGTGTCTGACAAACGGCTCCAGGAATGTGCCGCGATTCGCAACCCCCCTTTGCAAGTGTTTCGATTCGAATCGAACCTCAACGGTTTCTCCACCTTGGCGGGAAAGGAAGGGGCTAGCATTCTCGCAAAAGTAGTGGTTCAGTTACCTTCACGAGTCGCTATCATTCCAGGAATCTTTAGCGCCCCCATATATAGTAGTCATTTACACTACACATACAAGGACGGGCTGTAGACTATTAATCGCATTTATCGAGTGTACTCTTGATGGAGATGACTGATGGATAGAAATTTTCTGCTTCACAGCTGGAACTCGCTGTTTGCGCTGAAATCTGGTGCATGCAGCGACCGCGACTCGTAAATACATCTCCTCGAAATCCAGGGGAACAACATTGTAAGCTCTACCCTAGGAGTGTGCCAGAAGGCATCTGAACTGAGGGCGGGTCCAACTTTGCACATGTACGAGAAATTTTCAGCTCAGCTACCACATTTAGGCATGTAGCAGAACTACAAACGTACCAGAATCCACTAGACGCGAGACTGTACATATATGATGACATTTCGGAAATGTACCCGGGGACGTGCAGAACACGTCTGAAGGTTCACGTCAAACTCGTTTCGCGTCAAACACGCCAAAAGGTAACACCTGTTTTCGCAAGTTTGTTTTCGCCAATAAATCCCCAATCCGTCACAGGTGCGATAAACCTCGCTTTATTGGGTAACCCTTCATCCCAGGCACTGTACCCCGCAGCGTTACTGTACCTTGGCAAAAGTCCGAATGGTGCACTCGGAACTGGACAGGAAATGTTTGGAGTTTGCCCTGGGGTACAGTCAAGTCTGACTAGTGCATGACGTAAAAATAACGAAAAAAACGGGAGTGTGCAAAGTTGGACCCGCCCTCAGCACTGATTTTGCTGATGGCGAGTTAACTAAACGCCAAGCCGCGCAAATGCCCGTTAGGATGAAATGCCAGCGGGGAAGATGCAGGCCAGAACGACTTAGCAGTGCAACCAGATATGCCTAGGCGTGCACCTTGGACGTTAACTTACCCGTCCTTATATTCTAGCACATCTCGACATTCGGCCAAATGTCGTGACTCTCCAGGTCATCGTTCGCCTAAGCGTTGCACTCAGTGAACTTACCTATGAAGGTTCTTCTGGACGGCTAAGCGCACCAGCGCTCGCAATCCGGCTGCAGCGGCTGGGAACTGAGCACCATAGAGCTCTCCGTCAGGCCACCCAGTTTTCAGTTCGCTAAATTCTCTGGCTGCAAGAAGCTGTCGTCATCAGTTCTCCACGTCAGCTGTCATCAGAACTCATGTACAAACAGACACCCTTTGAAGCACTCAGCCGTTCCCCCAAACTTTTTGACAGGCGCTGGCTAATCCGCTCGATGTAGAAACACATAGAAGCCGCCCGTATCTCGCGACCATCATTTATGATTGCAAGCCGCAATACTATAAACGTCTTTCCTTAACAGGCGCTGACTGGTCCTTTCGATGTAATAACACCTAGAAGCCGCCCCAATCCCGCGACCATCACCTATGATTGCTAGCCTCATCATTGTCTGATCGTTTTCTTTCCTTCCGCATTACTCCACTGGTCATTTGCGCCCCAGTAGGCCCCAGGGAAAAGTGAGCCTCTTCGACCAGCTTAAAGAAGATCCTGCTCTCGACAAGGAAACGGAATCGTGACAGTGGCGACCGTGTCCTGAAACGGCGCTCCTTGGTCCGATTTAACAATGGATTTATATCCAAATATCCACTTTATCTATGCGTTGGAGAGCCAGCACACCAGGTGCTATTATCACTGTGCCCTTTATCTAGCTGGCAGAGGAATAAGGACGACACCCAGACCAATCCCCTTCAATCCAAGATCACTGATTTTTTTAGAAAATCAGGTTATTAGAAGGTTCTAAAATCTCCGGGTGCTGGATTTCTTGCCTTAGCTCAGCGACCGCGACTCTTTTTGGGAATACCAAGACCAATTCCGAAAATCTGATGGACTGGCTACCTTGAATTTCCCCGTTCCCTCGTCGATCACCCGCGGCTCACTCTCGAGAAAGTCTCTACTATTTGATGTCTCGTACGGGTCTTCCTTTCTTCAAGGATCTCTTTACCCCTTCTGTGCCTCTGGCCAGCAGTGACGATTGAGGAGCCTTCAAGATAGTACCTATCTTTCGCTTTCACCTTTGGGAAGCTTGAAGTCTGGATTGAAGTGCGAAAAGCCATGGATTCCTTCAAGGTGTACATTTCAGAGGAGGAGGAGGATTGCCTATCTCCATCCACCCTCCCCTCCGTCTCCCCGCCTTCCTCGCCGTCATCCCCGGGGTCATGGCTTCGCGGTCCCCTTCTCGGCTGCGGAGCCTTCGGAAGCGTCAGCCTCGCGATTGACGGCACAACCGGCCACCTGATGGCCGTCAAGTCGGTGACGGCTAGCGGTGACAGCGACCGTCAGCAGTCGCGGGAGCTGCAGGCGTTGGAGAACGAGCGGCAGATCCTGCAGAAAGTGAGCTCGCCGCGGGTGATCGAGTGCTACGGCGCGGATTGGTCCGAAGAAAACGGCGTCAAGTCAAGAAATCTCCTCCTAGAGCTCGCGTCAGGCGGCTCTCTGGCCGATCTGCTGAAGAAATTCAACAAAGGGGACGGCTTGGATGAGGTTCTGGTGAGGAGGTTCACGCGGGGAATCACGGAAGGGCTTCGGGATTTGCACGCTCGCGGGATCGTGCACTGCGACGTGAAGGGCCAGAACGTGCTGCTGTGCAAGACTGGCGTGAAGCTCTGCGACTTCGGCGCGTCGTTCCAGCTCGACTCGCCGGGGTCGTCGAGGGATTCGTCGGGGACTTCTCCGCGAGATTCGTCTCAGTCGCTGGATGTTAACGAAGATCGGGAAGCCGGTGTTACCAGGGACGCGCGCGCTCGCGAAGCCGGGTGTGCAAACGTTGCGGGGAAGGCGAAACTGTCGGGAACGGCGGAGCGGAAGCAGATGAAGGGGACGATTTGCTGGATGGCGCCTGAGGTGGTCGCGGAGAAGGGCGCGACTCCCGCTTCTGACGTGTGGTCTCTGGGATGCACCGTGATCGAGATGCTCACGGGACGTCCGCCGTGGGTGTCAAGGGAAGCGGTCACGCAGAATCGCCAATCTCCGAAATCGTTCATGTCGGTTTTGTACAAGATTGGCTGCTCCGTCGAAGTTCCTGAATTTCCGGCGAGGATTTCGGCTCAGGGACGGGATTTTCTGCTGAAATGCCTGGATCGCGATCCTGACGGACGGTCGTCTGCTGAGGATCTGCTGCAGCATCCGTTCATTCGAGTCGCATCAGGCGAGATTGACGTGGCTCTGACGGATCAGTTAACGTCTGACACAGCGACAGATGCGAAGTTCGCTCAACCCTCTGTTTCCGTCGTGGATGAATTTAATTTCTTCACCAGCAGCCCAAGGGATGCAGATTTCAACCAGGCGGATGGTGACAGTGTTGCTGGTGCTCATGCTGCAGACTGCTTGATCACTGACAGCTTCAACATACAGCCCAGGGAAGCTGCATCAGGGACAACCAGTAGCAACACGACTCCGGTGGACCATCCTCGCCCTGCCTTCACCATACCTCCGCCTCTCAATCTCTCCTTTGACTTCACCAGCGAGCCCAGCGTTGGACCCTTGACAGCACGTGAGGATGGTCCTAGCTGCTTTGAAGGTTTCTTCAGCCCCACCAGCTTTGATCAGAGTCCAACATCTGTGGATGATTCACCGAATGTAGACGCCACTGAGGCTGTGGACCATGCTGCATTCAAACTATTCGACGATGCATTTGCTTCTTCTTTCCTCTCGGGAACACCCTCTCCTCATCTCTTCTCCCCGCTGCACGAGGTAGCACGTGCCTTCAGTGGCGGTTCCTTCTCAGACCAGCTTTCCCCATCAAACCAGCTCTCTCCAGGGAGCCCTTCTGATGAGCCGCTGTTCCCCCCTGCACGCTCAGCACCTGGGTCCTTCCATTCTCCCCCTCAGCCTAAAGAATCTCCCTCTGCAGCACCTCCAGCTCCCTCTTCCTCTCTGCTCTCTCTCTTCCATGACTTGGGCTCTTGTGAAGAGTCCACTCCTGCTCTGCCTGTAAGGGCGTTCCCTCTAGTTTCTGAGATTTCTCTTCCTCCCCAGCTTAATGGCTGTGATTTGTCGACGCAATGCCGGGATTCGCCACCAGCAAGTGAAGCTGCTTCTGAGCGTGATGCCGACAGCAATTGCTGCTGTGCTGTTGATAGTCGTTGCTCCAAGGTTCCTTCATGGAGATCTGCACCTTCGATGCTTGGTGTTGAAGAGTCAGAGCATACAGATGCTTTTGGGTGGCAGGTGTTTGGGACTGAAGTTGGTCAGATGGCAAGGGATTTTTTTAGGGCTGAAGCTAGTGTGGGTTGATTGTACAGTGTACATATGTCAAGCATGTGCAAGCATTGCTGTTGTATGTTTATTTCTACTGATGATCTTACGCACTATCAGACTTTGAAAGAACCAGAGGTACCGGTATAGCGAATATACAATTCACTAAACCTCTACCAGAGTTTGTATAAAAGATTGTACATGGTGTGCAACACCATAGCCTCCCCAACATGCCCATAGAACATGCCATTTTTGGTGCCTTCTTTCGCCTTATGGCAAGTGTAGTGCCGATCCTTGACACTACATGTATCAAAGTACCTTGGGATCTCCACCGGCCACCCATCCAGATACCCAATCCCGTACCGCCGAATTTCCGTCTTGATCATCCCATTCATGTGTTCAATGAGCAAGTTGGTCGGAACCAAAACCCCGCACTCCCCATACGGCTTCCACGGGACAATACTCCGGTACAGCATCCATGGCTTCCCGCTTGTTCCGGTAGGAGCTTCGTTCTCCTTGCTGTGCTTCGCATGCCACTTCTGCAGCCTGTCCTGTTGACGCCTGGCCCAGGCGACGTACTCGGGGAGGTGTTTACTGAAGGCCTGTTCCGGCTGGAAGCAGTTGCAGGTGGCCCAGAAGCCACCGTCGATTATTGTCACGTCCGCGGAAAGGGACAAATCAGGGAAGGTGTTGTTGCGGTGTGACCAGAACCCTCGGCGGCTGTAAGAAGGGAGGGAGGTACAGAGGAAGGGAGGGGGGGAGGGAGGGAGGGAGGGAGGGAGGGAGGGAGGGAGGGAGGGAGGGAGGGAGGGAGGGAGGGAGGGAGGGAGGGAGGGAGGGAGGGAGGGAGGGAGGGAGGGGGAGGGAGGGAGGGAGGGAGGGAGGGAGGGAATGGGGTCATGAGTTGGTACGACGGTGGAGAGAAACAATAAGATCGTTGAAAGCTATGGTAGATCTATCGGTGTTTGGAGCCAGCAAACCAATGATAGGTCTTGCGGCGTTCGACTTGGAAAATAACAAGAAGAAACCAAGGGAAATAAAAAAGGGTGCTCCAGGAAATGGAATGACTCACGTGCATCCGTACTCGTCGTTATGGTACATTCCGTCCACCCAATAAAAATTCAATTTCAGCGGCTTTAAGTCCGCCCTCCCCTTGGGCGGCGGAATGTTGATAACAATATCCCCGTGGAACTTCCAGAGGGCATCGTCGACGTCGTGCATAACGAGGTAGTTTAAAAAGAGCATAAGAAAGCGCTGGTGCGAGTCGCCCACAAAGCTGATCTCCCGAATGCCCCGCGCTGCCAGCGCCTCCACCCACTGTGATGGGGGTGGCACCGGCGAGGCACACGGGAAGAAGCGCCACCTGGGATGGGAGGAGGGGAGGGAACAGAGGAAAGCGGGTTGAGGCAAGGGGTGGGGCACACCGGAAGAAGCGCAACGTGGGAGAGGAAGTGGTAAGGGGAAGGAAAGTGCCAGAAGGGTAAGGGTGAGGTGCGGTGCAGTGCATGAGAAGAAGCGCCACCTGGGAGGGAGGAGGAGGGGAGGGGAGGGGAGGGGAAGAAAAGTGCCAGAAGGGTAAGGGTGGGGTGAGGTGCACGAGAAGAAGCGCCGTCTGCGAGACAAGAGGGGGAAGGGCAGAGGCTGGAGGATCTTTTGAGAATTCTCAAAAGTCACTCCAATAGGGCAGAGGCCGGAGGATCTGATTTGGGCACGGAGTGAGGCGCATGGGAAGAAGCACTACCTGCAAAGGGAGGAGGAGGGAAAGGGATGGGGGAAAGGGGAAGACAAGGGCAACGGTGAATTGGAGATGGAGGCCGCATGGGGAGAAGCACTGCTTATGAGAGGAGGGGGGAGGTCGGAAGGAATGGGAAGCAGTCCTGACTAACATTTGAATGTTACGTTGTATCTTTGTTTCCGTTGTTTTATTAGTGATTTGACTGAAAATTGGTCGGGGGCGACGCACCTAGCTTGATGGAGCGTAAAAAGATGGAACATTCACTTTATGGAACCTTTTAACTCATGGAGCGTCGAGGAAAGAAGCACGATGATTGCAGGGAGGGGAAATTTCGTAATCTGTAGGATCCACCCATGTGGGAAGCTCACCCGTAGGTGGAGCCACCTCATCCACGTGGAGCCACCTCATCCACGCGGAGCCACCTCATCCACCTGGAGCCACCTCATCCACGCGGAGCCACCTCATCCACGTGGAGCCACCTCATCCATGTGGAGCCACCTCATGTCCACAGACAATTGCCCTAGCACACTCAATGCCCATGTAAGCATACAACATCTGACCGTGGCCACGTCACCCACCTGTAGGCTTTGTCCACGTGGAGCCATCTGCCAGCTACAGCCTGATCGCACGGTGCTTCATGCCACTCCGCCTCAGCCTCCGCCAGCCAATCCCCCCCTTCCTCCCCCTCCGCTCCCCCCTCCTTTCCCCCTTCCGCTCCCCCTTCTGCTCCCCGTCCTGATCCCTCCTGCCCCCCCGCCCCCCTTTCTGCTAATACCCGCTCCACTTCCCCCACGGCTTTCCCCCGTTTCCCCGCCATTTCTGTCCTGCTACCATGATTCTCTCGCAGGGGAGGGTTTGCCGGCAGCTGGGAGGAATCTCCAGAGATTGGAAGGTTTGCAAATGGGTGGGCGACGGTGAGGGTCCAGTTGGCAAAGGGCTTGACGCCTTGCTTGGCGAATTTCGCCGTGTAGTTGAGATTGGTGCAGCCGGATATGACTGTGACGCTGCGAGGGGAGTTGGGGGGCGGGGGATGGGGTGGGGGTTTGAGTCAACTAAAAAAAGGGTCCAGTTGGATAAGGGCTCAACTCCTTACTTGGCGAAAGACGCAGTGTAGTTGAGATCGGTGCAGCCGGATATGACTGTGATGCTGCGTGGAGGAGAGGGGAGGGGGGAGACGGCGGGTGGAGGGAGGTGGATGGGAGAGAGCTGAGTGAGATTGGTGTAGCCGGATATGACCGTGACACTGCACCAAGGGGTATGCGAGGGGGATTTTGAGTCAACAAAAAAAAAAGGTCCAACAGTAGAATTGACGGCTTGTTTGGCGAATTTCTGCAGTGTAGTTGAGATTGGTGCAGCCGGATATGACTGTGACGCTGCACCCGGGGGGTGGGGTGGGGTGGGGTGGGTGGGGTGTGGTTGGGGTGGGGTGGGGTGTGGTTGGGGGGGAAAGAGGAGGGGGTTGGAGAAGCGGGAGGGGGAGGGAAAGTGTTGGGGGGTAGGGGTGGAGGGAGGGTGGATAGAAGGTGGGAGGGAAAGGGAAAGCAGAGTGAGAGGGAAAGAAGGGGCAGCGAGTGAGCTGAGATTGCTGCAGCTGGATATGACTGACGAACTTGTTGGGTCGAGGGGAGCAGGGTGTTAGGCTGGGGGTGGGGGGTGTTAGGGTGAGGGTGGGGGGTCACTTCAGGTGTGTGTGAGTGGTAAGGTGAGTAACATCTGAATAACTCACTCACACCAGAAGAGTTAACTCACGTGTACTCCCCGGCGTCCCAGACTCGGTAAGACACTTTCCAACGTTTGCTGTCGCTCCCAATGCGCTTCACGTCCGCGTACGCGATAGAAGGACCCCACAGCTCCACTATAAGAAAGTCCACAAACGCTTCTGTCGCCGCAAACACCCATTTCGCGGGCGGTCTTATTTCGATCTCGAAGCTACACCACTGCCCCGCAACGCACCCCGCGCACCCGCTTCCGAACATCAGCACCCCCCCGCGCCGCTGGCCGGAGTGCTTCCGCTTTTTCCGCCGCCGATCGCGGCTCGCGTCGTCGTCCCAGCCGTACCCGCCGTGGTCGCCGGACCACCAGCAGAGCGGCTTCCCGCCGAATTGCACGGCGCGAGCGTCAAACACGGCGGCGGATGCGGCGGCGGACGCGTCGACAAGATCGCGCGCGCCGATAGCGACGGCGTCGGTGCCGCCGCCTTTGTCGCACGGCTGAGCGGTTTGTAAGGCGGCATTTGTGGGAGAATCAACGACGAAGCCACGCCAAGCTGAGGTGCCATCGCCGTCAATTAATACGAGAGGGCTGAACCAAAAGGCTAGAGCTAGGAGCCCCCCCGCTAAAAGCACCAGCTTTAAGAACTGCCGCGCGTATTGCGAAGCGGGATGGACCGCCACAACCCCGATCGCCATTTTCGTGATATTCTAAACTCAAAAACGGAGACCGGGTTTCCCGTCCTCTAAAGTCCAAACCGCCAGCTTTGTGTGAACCTATCTTTATCTCGAATCGGCTCTGTTGGAAATGCGTGCCTTCAAGGAGAAAGCCTAGGCGCGGAGGTGCAGCTGCAAGAAACCCATTTTCGTCGCGGTGCGGCACAATGAAGGCACCATCGGGATCTCGTCCTGTCACGTGTGCGCATTCCTCCAAGCAGGCACCCTGCAGTGCGCGTCGGCTCTTCCGCAGCACATTAGGTGGTGGGTGACCTGACACACAGATACAGGGAGAGCCTCCGTGTTCAGTTCCGTACCGTGAAATGAGGGAAGAGGAGCTGAGATGAGAGGGAGAGAATTTCAAAGCGGGAGAGCTGGAGAGAACGAAATGGTGAGGGAGGAGAGGAGAGGAAAAGAGAGGAAGGAAAAGATGGGGTTGGGGTGGGTTGGGCTAGGTGGGACGTTGGAGTGGGGTTGGGAGGTGGTAGAGAGACCATAAGGAGAACAGTAAAGGAGGGCGCTAATGGGAAACAAGTAGACTATTGCCGACTAAGGTGCTTACGATAGTAGAGATCCCGAACACACCCATGATAGAACAGTCATTCACACCATGTGTCTCGCCATAGTGTGTCTGAAAAAGAAAGGGATTGGAGAAAGAAAGGGAGAAGGGAAAATAAAACTCCCAAAAAGAACCCAAATGCAACACACATAAAACCCCCCCTCAAGTTACCCAATCAAAACGCCCAGTCAAGACACCCCATCAAGACATCCCATCCCACGCCCCATCCCCCCCCCCCCCCCCCCCCCCCCCTCAATCACATCAACGTATTGACCATGTACGGGGCCTCCACCCAGAGAGCCCCGCCTTCCACATCGACATCGTCCCTCTCCCGATCCGCCAAATCTACGTTAATCCCCCCCATGGAAGACGCCGCTCGAAGCAGGATGACACGGGCTTGCGCACGTTGTAACGCCACCCCGATGAGTGCCTCCAGTGACCCTAAAAGATAAGCCAAAAACACAGAGTCGTCCTCTCAACAAGCTCCCCGCGACACAGCTAGCCCCACATGCGCATCCCCCTGCTGACGAAGCCACCGCTGAAAACGACCGCCGAGACATCCCCACGTCTCAACTATCAAAGGGGTGAACTGCACGCCCCGTTTGCGTGCAAGCAGAGGCGCGTAATCACTCGTTTTGCGACGCTCCCATTCCCTTGCTGTCAGTAGATCTGCACTGTGGATGCTCGATTGATCATACGGGGGGTTACAGCGCGTTTGCCTGGGGGGTTATGGGCGCACTCTGACCCGCTACTGAAACAAACCCTTTTATCCCAATGGTCTAGTGGTTGGGATTCTGGCATGTTATCAGAGCGAAGGTCTCGGGTTCGAATCCCAGTGTGTGCACATCGGGCATCCCAGTGTGGGAGGGTGTCAGTGGATCTGCACTGTGGATGCCCGATTGATCCTACGGGGGGTTACAGGCGCGTTTGCCGGGGGGGTTATGGGCGCACTCTGACCCGCTACTGAAACAAGCCCTTTTATCCCAATGGTCTAGTGGTTGGGATTCTAAAATGGTATCAGAGCAGTCTCGGGTTCGATTCCCGGTGTATGCACATGTAGGCCGGTGCCGCTGTGCTTAGTCCTGGGCCTCCCAGTGTGGGGGGGTGTCAGTAGATCTACACTGTGGATGCCCGATTGATCCTGGAGAGGGTTACAGACGCGTTCGCCTGGGGGGTTATGGGCGCACTGACCCGCTACTGAAACAAGCCCTTTTATCCCAATGGTCTAGTGGTTGGGATTCTTACATGGTATCAGAGTGGTCTCGGATTCGAATCCCGGTGTATGCACATGTAGGCCGTTGCCGCTGTGCTCAGTCCTGGGCCTCCCAGTGTAGGGGGGTGTCAGTAGATCTGCACTGTGGATGCACGATTGATCCTTCGGGGGGTTACAGGCGCGTTTGCCTGGGGGGTTATGGGCGCACTCTGACCCGCTACTTAAACAAGCCCTTTTATCCTAATGGTCTAGTGGTTGGGATTCTGACACTTGCCGCCACACCTATTTGACGCCCGCACTGTCCCAGCAGTGATGGAGACAGCGATAGCGGCTCCGCGACGCTGATCTCTAGGGCGTGAGCCTCTCCAGCCATTGGACGTCGCACCGCCACATCAACCCGCTTCCCTTGCAACACCACACTATCCTCCAATGTCACCACCCCCCCCGACGCCTTAGAGATCTTCGCCACCGCAAACTTCACCTCATCATGCACCCGAGAAGGACCATGCTGGTGCCTGCATCTCAGGGCATGGTGCGGCGCAACAAAATTTTCAAAGTCACCTGGCTGAATGACGCGCATGGTGCTCTGATTGGTTGTAGGAATCACATCAATAGTGAGAAGCCTTGCCATCTGCTCTCCGACAACACTCTTCAAACAAGCTGGTATATCGTGTAGCTGCATGTGTAAGCGAACAGATATACGGTACTACTGACCAAAGTACAGTAAAACGTATTGTAAGGTATTAGAATTTGCAAAAGGCTATGATTCCCACAGGCTGCACAGCGGGTATAATCTGTCAATCTATTATCTTGGAGCAATTAGATGAAGCAATGCAACATTTACCATCGTCCAAACAAAGACATTATGTACTATCGGGGAAAGCAAGATAAAAGTGTATTATTTTTGCTGCTGTACTTTTAGCGAGCATGCACTTTTCCAACCGCCAGCAGTCTGCTTTTATGGGGTAAGTTGACATGCAGCAGCAGAAGTGTGTCGGCAGCAGGTCTCACGTCAGCAGAGAGATGGGCAATCCCAAGAGGTACTTCAGCGCCGCCGATGTCAGTCACTTTCAAGTCAAGACCCAACGGCTTTAGCTGGCTCCACTTGAGGGTTATTTTATAACGGCAGGTTGGAGAAGAGTCAAGTCCCATCCTAGCTTACGCTGACTAAGACCAGAGACAGCCGTGAAGTCTGTCGCATGAATCTGTGGTCATCCTTGCTTCACTATAACCGTTGGAAGCGTAAACGACTCCACTCGAGGTGACTTTTGAGTTGACTCAAAAGTCAAGAAAAGAGACAGCCGTGAAGTCTATCGCATGAATCTGTGGTCATCCGTGTTTCACTGGAACCGCTGGAAGCGTAGACGAATCCTCTCGTTATGAGTGACAACAGCTGTGTCGTTCCGGTACGGTATGCCATCTGATCGTCGCTAATGCTTACTACATCTTAAATCTAGCCCTGACAGTTGCCTGAGGGAGTCTGTAGCTCCGTTTTGAGTCGTCCCGCAACAGATTTTGCCATCGCAGGTCTAGCCCTGGCAGCCTGAGGTTATCTGTCGCTCCTGTATTGAGTCGTCTCCTGCTCTGACGAGATTTGACTCAGATTTGTCTCTCCTGCGTCACCGCCTGCTCATCGTATCACTGTCGCTGATCCGCATGGTAACGCCACTATTGTATCACCACCACTGTAAGTTAACCACGGAAACACTGCAACCATGGCGGCGGTTAACCCCCCACTCCTCTCCGGCGTGGCCGTTCGCGGACGCGCTCAACCCAGGAAAACTCCCAGCAAATCGTCAATATTCTCCGGAAAGCTTCCATCCTCTCCAGGCCTGCTCCTTGCCTCTCCAAGGTCTCTCACTGCTTCCGGGTCTCAGAACGAGTTCTTGACCAGCCAGGGCTCGAACCCGGGTCGGGTGTTTGCCACGTCCACTGGACGAATTCTGGGAGGCAGAAACAGACCCGAGGTACTTCGAAACTCTTCGGAGGGACCTAACATGCTTCCGAGCGGAGCTGCACCCGGCAATCCCGAGGGTATTGGGCCAGAAGAAGGGCCAGAATCCAGGAGAAACCCAGACGAATCAAGCCCGAATCCGGATGCACTGAGGCGCGATTGCACTCTCGTGCAAGGATCCGGGTGGATTATGGATGGATTGGCGCAGGAAGGAAACACTAGAAGCATTTTTGAGGCGCCTAAAAGGTCGTCTCGTCACACAGGATCCTGGCGCAATCCCCATAGCTTGAGGCGGGATGGTGGGTGCGGTGATAGTGTGAGCGGGAGCAACTGCAACGGGGGGAACAAGGGCAGAGGTAGCAGGAGGAGAGGCGGCAGCAGCAATAGAAGCAGCCGGAGTAAGAGCAGCAGCAGCAGCGTTAGCAGCGGCAGCTGTAGCAGCAGCAGTGGCAACAGCAGCAGCAGCAGTGGCAGCGAGAGTAGGGAACTTCCAACTTGGAAAGTTCCCTCTACAACTGTCACAAGCGATTCGTTACAAGGACAATCCGGTCCCGTTACAAGCATCCCTCAGAGGGACACATCATCGCCACAGAGGGCGAGGGCTCTAGAAACGGTCGTCCGTTATAGTCACGGGGAGAAGCCCTCTCTGCTGATGGACGACCAGGCCCTGCAGAACCTCCCGTTACAGTCACTTCGCACCCGTCACACTCCATACAACAAGGGGTCCGATGGTGGTGAACGTGACTATAGCGGCAGCAGCAGCAGGGCGAGTGGGAGGGGAGGGGTCAGGGGGAGAGGCAGGGGAAGAGGCAGGGGGGAAGTGGGGAAGAGTGGGAAGGGGAGGGAAAGAGGGAGGGGAGAGATAGTTCCGACGGGCAGACAGGAGAAAGCGTGGGTGAGACGTGGTAGACCCGGGGAGGGAGGGAGGAGGGAGGAGGAGGAGGCAGATGAGAGAGGTGCGAGAGCGAGGGCTGCTGCGCTGCAGAAATGGCTGGAGGAGGGGTACGCGCTCCTGTATGGCTCCCATAACCTTCCTGATGCCCATAGTGCCCCTGATGTCTATGGTGCCACTGATGCCCATAGCCCTCTTTATGACCATGGTGCTTCAGATGTGCATGGTACTCGTGATGGCGTTGGTGGCAGTGATTATGCTTATGTTGTGCATTCAGAGAAATCGGGTACATCCACAGGAAAATCAACGGCAGAAGCAGCAAAACCAGCACCAACAGGCCTGTCACGAGCAGACCCATCAGCACCAGCCCAACAAGCAGCGACAGAATTAGCACCACGAGCGTCAGCAGAGTTATCCTCGTCTAAGGGTGCTTCGTTTCTGCAAGTGCCGTTTTTGGAGGTGGAGAAGATACCGGAAGGGCAGAGGTCGGCTGTAGCGTCAGCTGTAGCCAGGGAGATGTGGACGGCAGGCGCCGCCCATATCGTGGCGGAGATCTGCCGCCAGGTAACCCCTTCCCCGCTAGCAGCCGAGCTTGGCCGCTCGGTCCTGCCCTGGACGGCCCACGATGACGCCTGGCTGTTTCCTTCTGCTCCTGCTTCCAGTTCTGCAAAGGGTGCTGCTGGTGCTGGAAGCAGGAGCAGGAGCAGCAGCAGCAGCAGCAGCAGCAGCAGCAGCAGCAGCAGCTCTGCTGGTGACTCTGGTACACCGTTTACTCGTGCTCCTGCTCGTGGTGCTCCTGCTCGTGGTGCTCCTGCTCGTGGTGCTCCTGCTCGTGGTGCTTCTGCTCGTGATGCTCCTGCTCGTGATGATGCTGCTGCTGGTGCTGGTGGTTTGAGCATGGGTCGGATGAAGATGAGGAGAAGAAGTACAAGCCTTGAAGCTGGTGTGCAGGAGGCAGCAGCAGGCGGCTGGCATGCCACAGAAAGTGGGCGGCATGCATCAGCAAGTGGACGGCATGCCACAGAAAGTGGGCGGCATGCAGTGGCTGAAGGTGAAAGGCAGATGAGGTGTGGTGCTTACAGTCAGAGATGGAGTAACGGGGAAACGGGAAGAGAGATGGATATGGAGGAATGGAGAGGAGGAGGGGCTGGTAGGGATGACGAGAGGGAGGCATGGAGGGAGGCGTGGAGGGAAGCAGGGCGGGAGGCAAGGAGGGAAGCGTGGGGGGAGGCAAAGAGTGAAGCAGGAAAGGATGCAGGGGGTGGGGAGGAGCAGGAGGGTGGGATTGAGGAGTGGGGAGCAGAGAAAAAGGGGAGAAGTAAGCGAGGGGGCAGCAAGAAGCAGAGGAGTGCGAGTGAGGGGCGTGTGGGGATGGAGCGTGCGCGTGCAGCTATGGGGGAAACTGGTGCGGCATGGGAGAGAGAATCTGCAGGGTTCGGTGGTCGGTTGAGCCAGGAGGAAGCGGAGGCATACAATCGTGTGATGAAGGTGAGTGAGTGGGTGAGAGAGAGGGAGTGCAAGTGAGGGGTGTGTGGGGGGGATGGATGGTGTGCGTGCAGTTATGGCAGGAAGTGGTGTGGCATGGGAGGGAGTATCTGCAGGGTCCGGTGGTCGGTTGAGCCAAGAGGAAGCGCATTTTCTACCTTTCTCAGTTCTTTGTCCTTGCTCTTTTTCTCTTTCTCAACTGAGACGAATTTTGAGGCGCCTCAAAAGTCGTCTCAGTTCTCGTGGTTTTTGTATCGAGAGGATTTTGAGGCACCTCAGAAGTCAATTTCTTCGCTTCTCAGTCCTTGTCCTTGCTCATTTTCTCTTTCTCAACTGATTCCCCTGTTGCACCACGATACCATAGGTATGTGTACCTTGTCTACCATTCCCATCCCATCTCCTTATTCCCATGCCTATTCCCACGTCCTCCTCTCGTCAACTGTTTTTCCTCAATTCCGCTTCCTCTTCCCCCTCACTTGTGGCTCTTCCCTTTCCACCTGCATGCTCGCTTCTTCAGGCAGTAGTTCAGCTCAACGCTCACCAGCGCCGAGTGGTCACCAGCAGCAGCGGCACCGGCGGCAGCGTGAACAGCAGCAGGAGCAGCAGCAATAGCACCGATAGCAGCAAGAGCGTTGGCCGCCACAACAGCAACAGCGGGCACGCATCACCACCACTTGAGCAGCCAGGGTTACAGGCAGCAATCAATGCAGACATGCATGGTGTGGCGTTGGACCACTCAGATGAAGCAACAGCTAATGACAAGCACCATTCCCGGGACCTCGTGCACCTGTAACCACCAACCCCGGCTTATAGCCCCCTTAGCTCTCTACACCCCGTGCTGCATACCCCGTAGCTCAAAACCCCTTTCGCTCCTGCTGCCTTAGCCCAAACCCGTTTCTCGACCCAAGTACCCATGGCCTAGCAGCGTCTGCTGGCTACGTGTAAAAAGGGTAGTTTTTAGTGTAAAAGAGACGTCTCAAAACTACTCTTTTCACACCCGAAGTACCCTTGGCCTAGCAGCGTCTGCTGGCTGCCCTCTCAGGAGAGAGTCTCTTAAAACAGCTCCCCTTTATTTCCCCTTCTTCCCTTGCCTCTGCCCTCCGTTCCCCCTCATCGTCCCTCCTCCGCTGCCGTTTCACCTGTGTACACGCAACCCCCCAGTGCGGCCCAGGCGCCCTTGGCCCAGCAGCGGCTCGTGGCGGCTCACTCAGGCCTGGTTCCTCGTCCTCAACACGCCGACCACCCATCCTCCTCCTCCTCACCCTCGACCGTCCCTCGTCTCCCCTCCCACACCCCCTACCCAGTGCGGCCCAAGCGCCCTTGGCCCAGCAGCGCCTGGTGGCTGGCGGCTCACTCAGGCCTGGTATCCTTTTCTCAAGACCCTGACCATCCTCCCCTTTTCCACCCACCAACTCTCTCTCGTTTCCCCCCCCACCCCCCACCCAGTGCGGCCCAAGCGCCCTTGGCCCAGCAGCGGCTCGTGGCGGCTCACTCAAGCCTGGTGCGCTCCATTGCTCGCCGCTTCTTCGGGCATGGGGTGTCCCTCTCCGACCTCTACCACGTGTGTGAGGGGATGAAGGGGGGATGGAGCGGGGGACTGGGGAGGGGTGAGATGGGTTGGAGCAATGGAGAGACTTTGATTCGCCTTGTGCCGGCTCATTCAGGGCGAGTGCGCTCCATTGCGCGCCGCTTCTTTGGCCACGGGGTGTCCCTCTCTGACTTCTACCACGTGGGTACAAGAGGGAGGGGGGGGGGGGGGGGGTGATGGGGGTATGGCACTGAGGGTAGAGATGGGGCAGACGGCTTTCTTCGGCCACGGGGTGTCCCTCTCCGACCTGTTCCACGTGCGTACACGCTTGTGTTGGGGGTTGTGGTGTTGGGGAGGTGGTTTTTAAGGGAGGTGGTTTTGGGGAAGGCAGGAAGAGGCTGGGATGGTGAGACTGCTTCTTCGGGCACGGGGTGTCCCTCTCCGACCTCTTCCACGTGGGTAAAATACAAGAGAGCGAGGGAGGGGGGGGGGGGGTTGATGGGGGTATGGCACTGAGGGTAGAGATGGGGCAGACGGCTTTCTCGGCCACGGGGTGTCCCTCTCCGACCTCTACCACGTGTGTGAGGGGATGGAGTGATGGATGCACTTAGGGAGGTGGAGGTGGTGGGGGCTGAGATGCCTAAGATGGGTGATATGGGGGTTATGATTATTTCAGCCGCGGGTTATACCCCACCAGACAGAGCTTGGTTTGGTTTGCACTGTCCCCTACCTGCGCCTTGCTGCCTGCCTGCCTGCTTGCTTGCCACCCAGCATCTCTTTCCGCTCTCCTTCCCATCTGCTCTCCCCCACCTTTCTCAATGCTGCATCCTCTTCCTCGTCTGCTTCGTCTTCTTCCTCGTCCGCCGCTTCCTCCTCCCGCCATTCTTTTCCACCCTTCCTCCGTTGCCTCCTCTCCTCTCCTCTCCTCTCCTCACACCTATTTCTCCCGCCGTTGCTTGGGCACCAGGCGGGAGTGACAGCCCTGCTGCGAGCAGCAGCAACCTACAACCCCACCCTCGCCTCTCCAGCCTCAGGTTGATCCCCCAGTCGACCTGGTAGTAATTGTTTTTTTTCTCTCTCCCACTCCCATTCTCTGCACCAGGCGGGAGTGACAGCCCTGCTGCGAGCAGCAGCAACCTACAACCCCACCCTCGCTTCTCCAGCCTCAGACCCCTCCTCGCAGCAAACCAGTGCAACCAAACCAGCCCAGTCAAGGGCACGAGGGGAGAAGGAGGAGGAGGAGAATGAGCGTGTGTTGAAGGATGAGAAGGAGGGTAAGGTGAAGGCGTGGCAGGAGGACGAGTATGGCATGAGGAAAGGCCGCTTGTGGGCTCTGCCAGGACTGAGGCGGAAAGCCCGTGTGGAGAGCGGACGGGGAGAGGCAGTGAGTGGGGGAGGGGGTGTAGAGGCCGGCAGGGGAAAGGGTGAGGGGATGAAAGGACTCAATGAAGGGGGTGGGGCAGGCCAAGGGGTGGTGGCTGCACGGCCAACTCACATGTCGCAGGAGGCGATGCAGCGCGAGGTGCCACAGCAGGTGCTACAGTCGGTGCTACATCAGGGGCAGGTGGAGCAGCGGCCAACGGAGCAAGGGCAGCTTGAAAAGGACTTCGCAAATAGCGAAAGTGGAAAGCAAGGAGAGTTGGTGGAGGAGAAGCAGGGAGGATTTGAAGAGCAGCAGGCAATGTCCTTCTCATCATGGGCCAGTCGTCTTGTTTACCAGGTGAGCCCCATCCTCCTCCCTGTAACCCACAACCACCCCCCTCTCCCCTCACCCCTCCTCGATTGAACCCATCTCGCCCACAACCCCCTTGCAGTTGCCCGCTCACCACACCCTTGCTCCTCCTACTCCCACCTCCCTCCCACGAAGTGCCGGCCGGTTACCTGTCTTCTCCCACGAGGTGCCGGCTGGTTACCTGTCTTCTCCTTGCTGTGCCCCTTTCTTGTGTTCTACGAGCTGGTTTTTGAGAATTCTCAAAAGCCAACCCTCCCACGAGGTGCCGGTTACCTGTCTTCTCCCACGAGGTGCCGGCTGGTTACCTGTCTTCTCCTTGCTGTGCTCCTTTCTTGTATTCCCGCTTGACCACACAGACCACCCAATTCCATCCGCTCCCCCTCCCTCCATTCCCCTCTCCCTCCAATCTCTTCTCTCTCCCTCTCCCGCGCAGACCCTCCAGCAGGAGGTGTGGCGCCGCTCACCAGACTTCTCCTTCCCATGCTCCTTGCTTGAATGCCCGTTTGAAACCCCCTTTGAAACCCCCTTCCACTCCCGCCTCTCTCCCCTCCACCTCCACTCATCAGACCCTCCAGCAGGAGGTGTGGCGCCGCTCACCAGTCTTCTCCTTCCCACGCTACGCCTACTTCCAATACGCTGAGATTTCTGCCGCCTATGCTGTAAGCCCATGTGTCATTCTGTACCATTCTGTGCCATTTCGTGCCATTGTAACGAGGTGAGTAGTTTTGAGGCACTGTAAAAGCCATTTGCCTGTTTCTTCCTTCCCATGCTACGCCTACTTTCAATGCGCTGAGACCTCTGCTGCCCTGCATTTTCGGAGTGAGAGAGAGAGAGCAAACATTTACGCCTAATTTCGTGAAACGTGTTTGCTCTCGCTCTCTCTCTCACTCCCAAATTTCCAAAGCCTTGCATACCCTTTCGCTTTTCCTTCCTGTCTCACCCTCGCGTTTCAGCTATTCCTGAAGCCATACTGATGCAAGGCACTCAGAAAGAGGCAGAGAACTTCTATGAGTTCATTGGATTAGTGAGAGCTCTTAACCTTGCTTCCACGATTTCAACCTATACCCTCCATCTGCTCTCTCATCTCTCACACACTCTCTCCTTCTCTCCCCATCGCCCCTCACCTTCTCCCCCCACGCAGTCATTTCGGAAGCAGCACGGCCAGGAGCCCCCTCTCGCAGCCCCCTCAGCCACCACCTAGTGACTTCAAAGTCGATTCAAAAGCGCCTCTCTCCCCTTCCCCCCTCACCCTCGGCCCCCACCCAGTCATTCCGGAAGCAGCACGCCCGGGAGCCCCCTCTCGCAGCCCCCTCAGCCTCGTTTCCATGCTCTCACTCTCCCATCTCCATTCCGCCTCTCTCTTTCTATTGCCCCTCACCTTCTGCCCCCACCCAGTCTTTCCGGAAGCAGCACGCTCGGGAACCCACCCTCGCAGACCTCTCAGCTGCCACCAGCCTCTCACCCCAACGGGTATGCGGCGGAATTCACCCGTGAACCTTAGGGTAGCTGCGGAATGTGCCCATTAACTCAAGGGGTAGGCTGCGGAATGTGCCAATGAACGCAGTGGGTGGGTATGCCGCCGATTGTGCTCATGAATCCATGGGTACGCTGAGTAATATGCTCACGAATTGCTGCAAGTTACCATCGCTCACCTCCCTGCCATGCCATCCCTCTCGCCCACCAGATTGTGACTGTATCGAGGGCCATGAGGCGAATAAAGAATTGCCTTGTATGTGTTTTGTTACACTCCTCCCACCAGATTGTGACTGTCTCGAGGGCCATGCGGCGAGTGAAGAACCCTCTCTCCTTCGACGTCTCCTTGCTCCCCAACCGCACCCATGCTGAGACCTTCTCCAACGACAAAGCGGACCCCTGGCAGGTGGGTTTGAGATTGGACTGAGAGGAGGGATGAGAACAGGGATGAGAACAGGGATGAGAATGCGACAGTAACAACCTCCTCTCCTCCCCCCCCGCACCCCCCCCTCCTTCTACTCCTCCTCTTCTCCGCCCAACAGCATCTACTGGACTCGGAGCATCTGGTCCTCCTCTCACACGCTCTCTCCTCGCTTCCCTCCATCTATCCGTCTCCACGTCTCCTCTATGTCTTCCCTCCCTCGCTTCCTCTCTTCCCCATCCAACAGCATCTCCTGGACTCAGAGCATCTCGTCCTCCTCTCACGCGCTCTCCCCTTTTTTTGAGCCGGCAAAAACAACCTCCCCCGCCTCTCCTTCTACTCCTCCCGTTCTTCTCCTCCTGTCTTCCCCATCCAACAGCATCTCCTGGACTCGGAGCATCTGGTCCTCCTCTCACACGCTCTCTCCACCCTCGACCCGCACCGCCGCCTCGTGAGTGCACTTTTGCTAACACATGGGCAGAGGCGGCGGGTACAAATGGGTAGTGGTGCGTACAAATGAGCAGAGGCGGTTACAAATGGGCAGAGGCAGGTACAAATGAGGGTACAGAGGGGCAGAGGTGGGTACGGATAAGCTGCAATTCTCTGTGCATGTGCCGTGTTTTCATGCACCTTCCCTAAGAAGTCATATTTTGAGTCGACTCAAAACACGACTCAATACAAGCAGAATCAGCTGCAATTCTCTGTGCATGTGCCGCGTGTTCATGCACCTTCTCTAAGATCGTTGCAACGACGTTCGCCGTTCCTCTACCTGACTCGCACCGCCCTCGCCCCCTTCGTTTCTGCACCCTGAATGAGCAGATTCTGGAGCTTCGGCTTAGCCTTAGGGGTTCTCGCCGTGTGCCATGTGTTCCTGTGCCCCTTCTCCGCACATGGTGTAATCTCTCCCTACCTCTCTCTCCCTGTCTCTGACCGTCCTCGCCCCCTTCGTTTCCGCACCCTGAATGAGCAGATTCTGGAGCTTCGGTTTGGCCTGCGGGGGTCTCGCCAAGTCTCACAAGAGGAGGTGAGTGCATGCTTCCATTTGCCCTGATTTGAGTCGACTCAAAGCAGTCTCACAAGAGGAGGTGAGTGCATGCCTTGGTGTGGCCTGCATGCATCATTCCACTTGATGCACCATTTGACATATGACGATGCACTGCGTTTACTTTTGAGTCGACTCAAAAGCCACTACGGTGTGGCCTGCATGCATCATTCCACTTGATGCACCATTTGACATATGACGATGCACTGTGTTTGACATTCGTTTTTGCGTGTTTTTTCGCAGATTGCTGCAGCGTTGGGGATGACACCCAAGATGGTGTCTTACTTGGAGGTGAGTGTGTGTGTGAAGGGGAGAGGTGAAGCACCTGGTGCTGACGGTGAAAGGCTCCCCTTTCCCAAGGTGGCAGGGGACTTGGAAGAGGAACGAACACAACAGACCATACAAAATTTGTATTCCAGACGTATCATATGTGCTTGCCATGTGCACATCACAATCGAGGGGTGTGGTGGGTGCGGGCGTGTGCATGTGTGTCATTGTGTGCGTTTTGCTTATTTCGTGGTTATTTTATACTTTCTAAGGTGTCATTTGTGGTTGCTATGTTTTGTGTGTGTTTGTGGTGGTGGTGGTGGTGGTGGGGGGGTGCGGGCGTGATTGAGTGTGGGTGCGTGTGCGGAACGCACGGGTGTGTGTTTGTGCGCACGTGTGTGTGAGTCACATTGCAGGTTTCAGCATTGAAGCAATTGAGGAAGGCATGTGTGGGTGGCACAAATATAAAGTGATAGTGCTGTTATATATACTATCCCCATCTGTGAAAAAAAACAGTGTTCACTTGCTGAAGCTGGTATGTTGTATTCCTGTGTGAAAAGTGTTCCGAATTACGGTACCTGAAAGTAGTTATTTAATTAATCAGCTCCTTCCACCTGATTCCCACCCTCCCACTCTCTATAATCACACTAGTGTGAAGCAGACTTTTCCAGTGTATTATGAATATGGACCTAACAAATGAATCCAGAAAATCCGATGTAGTTTTGATCTGGAGGCTGAACATCAGAGGAAATAAGATTATTGACACACTACACTAAGATTTCCATGTCTGTGCCATCACCATACATCCTATTTCTTAGACTTAGAGCTGTAGGAAGTTTCCTTGCAGAACCTAAGCTTACCAACCACCTCCCCCTGTAACATTCAAGATTGACAGTAACCACGCCTCCATCATGCTATCACTGTAGCAAAAATCAATTGGCTAAGGGTGGGTATTGATTGAGAGCCCGCATTGAAAGCCTGAAGCGGGCTTTGTAGCCGAAACCGAAGCAGAACAAGCGGCAGGCAGGAGTCCTTCAAAACGAAAAGAGAAGCATAAGGTACCCCTGCCTCACAGTGCCTCACCCTGCCTCACCCCTTCCTACCAACCTTGAGAGAGACCGAATGAAAGAAAGTTTGCAGTACCTTTCAACAAGGCCCAATCATGCTTATACCCACCCACCAACACCATCCGCTCTGCCCCCCCCAAATGAAATCAAACAGTGCACAGTGCGTGCTCATAGGCTGCGATCCCACCAATCCTTGACCTCGGAGAGTCGACTCGAAAATCAATGATGCATGCTCATAGGTTGCTCGTAGGTGGCTCATAATCCTCATAGGTTGCGTTCCCGCCAGTCTTTGATCATGGCGCGCACGGCATGGTTGGGCACGAGGTCCTTGGAGGGCAGCTGCTCATTGGTCATGGGCGAGCGGTCGCTGCTCTCCAGCCACGACTCTATCGCCTCCTTCTCGTACGTGTGCCCGTCCGCTGCCAGCACCGGGTTCACCATCATCTCCTGTGCGGTTGAGAGCGGTGAAAGGGGGTGGAAGAGGGTGCCAAGATGGGGAAGAGGGGGTGAGAGTGTGGACAAGCTAATAGTGGAGGCTTCTCGTAGGTGTGCCCGTCCGCCACCAGCACCGGGTTCACCATAATCTCCTGTGCGGTTGCAAGGTGTGAAGGGGATAAGTGGTAAGAGGTTTGAGAAAGTAAGAAGGCTTCTCGTACGTGTGCCTGAACGCCGCTAGCTAGCACCGGGTTCACCATCATCTCCTGTGTATGGGAGGATAGGGAAAAGGTTGTGGTAGTGTGAGAGGGGTGGTGGTGTGAGTGGGTGGACAAGCGAATATTATAGAGAAGTTGAAGTCACCGAGGGCTTCTCGTACATGTGCCCTTCCGCTGCCACCACCGGATTCACCATCATCTCCTGTGCGGGGTAGTGGAGGGGTTGGGATGTGGTGGGTAAGGGTTTGAGAGAGCATCAAGGCTTCTCGTATGTGTGCAGGGGAGGAGGATGTGCAGGAACGGGTAGAGAGGAAGACAGAGTGGAGAGTTGGAGACAAAAAGTAGACGGGGCACAAGGAAACCCAAGCTTGCCTGAGTGATGGGGCAGAACAGGCTGCTGGGCGCATCCCCAATCGACCGCTTCGCCGGCGTCTTCCTCGCCTCCTCCTCCGCCTGAACCGCTCGCGCCCGCGCCCTATCCAGCACGGGCATCACATGCGTCTCCAGATCCGGCCGCTTCTTCCTCCTCATCTCAGAACACTTCACCGCAATCTTAGCCACTTCCATGACCATATCCAGCGGCCAGTTCCCAGCGCGTTCATCTAGAAACTCCCTCATGGCCTCCTCGTCCCCGTCGTCCACAGCTTCTTCTAACCCCTCGTACACGTTGGGCTTGCGGCCGGTGAGGAGATCGAGGAGCACGATTCCGAGTGCGTAGACATCGGATTTGGGGCCGAACTCGCCCGTGCGTTGGAACTCCGGGTCGACGTACGCGAAGGTGCCGACAGGGACCGATTCTCGCATGTAGGTTTGATCCATGGACAGCCCAGGCATGAGCTTCGCCAGCCCGACGTCTCCGAGTTTCGCAACGAAGTTTTTATCGAGGAGGATGTTGCCGGGCTTTAAGTCGCGGTGCACGATAGGCACGGGGCGCGTGTGGAGGATGAGGAGCGCGGAGGCGATTTCGGCGGCGACGCGCATGCGGGTGTACCAGGGGAGAGGGGGCGTGTTGTTGGCGCAGAGGAGGCGGTCCTCGAGGGAGCCGTTGGCCATGAACTCGTAGACGAGGCAGTACCTGTCGGGACAGCAGCCCAGCAGCATCACCACGTGTGGGTGCTGAATCTGACTCAGCACTTCGACCTGTGGGAGATGGGGGAATTGGGGGAGGGGGGAGCGGGAGGAGAGGAGGAGAGAAGGCGGAGGGGAGGCAGAGGGGAGGAAAGGGGCAGGGGGAAAAAGACAGGGGAAAGGGAGGGGGAGGTTGGGGAAGCGACGGCGGAGAGATGAGGCGTGTTGTTGGCGCAGAGCAGGCGGTCCTCGAGGGAGCCGTTGGCCACGAACTCGTAGACGAGGCAGTACTTGTCGGGACAGCAGCCGAGGAGCATCACCACGTGCGGGTGCTGGATCTATCTAAGCACCTCCACCTGGTGGGGGGATGGGGAGGATAGGGAAGGGGAGGAAGGGATGAGTGGGAAGAGAGGTGAAAATTGTGGGAGTGCGTACAATGACTTGCCACAAACGTGTGGGAGCTGGATGTGACTCCACCTGGTGAGAGGGATGGGGAGGGGGAGAGGCGGGGAAACGGGAACAGAGGAATGGGGGCACGGAAAGTCGAAGGGTGAGGGTGGTGGAAGGGAGGGGGTGTGATGATGGGGAAGAAGAGAAATGAAGGTACTGGATCTGACTCAGGCACAGCCCAACACACACGTGGCCCAGCCGTCACCCACCTCTGCTATGCTCACTAACCTCTTGTTGGAACTCGTGCGCGGCCTGCATGGCGTCTGTGTTCTTGAGCACCTTCACCGCCACGGGCGTGGGTGAGGTGGAGCGTGCTACACCGCCCCACCACCTTCTGGCCTACCTTTCAGCGCAATACCCCTTCTTTCCCACCCATCTTGCACCAAAACCCTTTGCTCCGCGCACCTCTTGTTGGAACTCGTGAGCGGCCTGCATGGCGTCCGTGTTCTTGAGCACCTTCACTGCAACGGGCGTGTGGTGCAGCGTGCCTGAGAACACCGTTCCAAACCCGCCCTCGCCCAGCTTGCGGTCCGTCTTGAAGTTCTCCGTTGCAAACTGGGGGATGTTGAATGGGGGAATGCGGGTGGAGAGGGAGGGCTTTAGAGCATGATTTGTGCCCTGAGGAAGTTCTCCGTAGCAAACTGCCATTTCATGGGGAGGAGGAAACACAAGTAGCTCGGGTGCTTGAGGAGTTGATCTCTGGGATGAAATTTGAGTCCACCGAGAAAGTAACCCGCTCTCGCCGAGCGCTAGAAGTTCTCCGTCACGATCTGTTATGCATGGCAGGGGGAATCAGCTTTTGAGGCGCCTCATTCATGTGCATGCGTGCACGCCCACCCCACATTCACGAAGGCACGCCTCACTGTGCAAACGGATAGCACCAACACCCTCCTTCACCAATATACCAACTCACCCACCCTTCCACCTTCCACCTCCCCTCCACTCACCACAATGTTGTCTCGTCAGACGAGTACTCGCGGTAGTTTGTCATCACGCGCATGTGTTCATGCCCACCCCACATTCACGAAGGCTCCCCTCACTGTGCGAACGGGCAAAAACACCCTTCTACACCAACGTACCCACCCACACACCCACACACCCACCCACAGACCCGCCACTCACCACAACGTACTACAAGTAATCGCGGTACTGGGCCATCATGCGCATGCATGTATGCACATAACCACCTTCTACGCTCGGGGTGATTTTGGTGATTCGCCTCTTCAACCTTCCCCCGCCACTCACCACAATGTCGTCGTACGAGTACTCACGGCAGTTGGCCATCATGCGCATGCATGCATACACGCATGCACCCAGGCAACCATCTACTCACCCGTCCACTCACTCTCCAACCCACCCATTCATCCACCCACCGATCCACTGACCCACCCACCCACCCACCTATCCAACCACCCACACGCCTACCACTCACCACAATGTACTCACGGTAGCTGGCCGTCATGTGCATGCATACCAAGCTTCTACGCTGCTGGTGATTTTGGTGACTCCGCTCCTGCTCATTCACCTTCTTATCATTTCCCCATCCACTCACCATAATGTCGTCGTACGAGTACTCCCGGTAGTTGGCCATCATGCGCATGGGTGCATGCACGCATGCACACATCTAACCATCCACTCACCCATCCACCCACCCTCCAACTTACCCATTCATCCACCCACCCACCCACCAGCCACTCACCACCACAATGTCGTCATAAGAATACTCGCGGTAGTTGGCCATCATGCGCAAGCACCCATCTACCCATCCACCCGTCTACCCATCCACCCATCCACCCACCCACCCATCCAACTATTCAACCATCCACGAGCCCTCCACTCACCACAATGTCGTCATACGAGTACTCGCGGTAGTTAGCCATCATGCGCATGCTGCCCTTCTCCGATTTCGCCTTCTTCTCCGCCTCCTGCCGCCGCTTCTCCTCCAGCTCCAGCGCCGCGCGCGTCATCGCCGCCTGCTTCATCGCCACCTCCGTCTTCTGCGCCTCCAGCTCCGCCTGCTTCCGCGCCTCCTCCGCCGCCGCCATGGCGCGCGCCGCCTCCTGCGACGCCATCTCGATGCGCACCGCCGTTTCCAGCTCCCGCCGCTTGTTCTGCGCCTCGACCTCGCGGAGGGAGCGGTCCGCTTCGGAGAGCGCGCGCTGCGCGCGCTGCTCCGCCTCCAGACGCGCCTTCTCCGCCTCCGCCGCGCGCTGCCGCATCAGCTCCAGCTCGCGCCGTAGGTCGTTCTGAAGGGGGTTCCGGGAGGAATGGGGGAAAGCGGGGGGAAAAGGGAAAGGGAAGGGGAGGGGAGAGGGGGAAGGGAGGGGAGGGAAAGGAGGGAGGGAAGGGAAGGGAGGGAGGCAAAGGAAAAGGGAGCGCTTTGTCTCGTGAGCTCCAACTCGCGATGAAGATCGCTCTGAAATCAAGGCGTGGGGATGCCTTGAAGTAAGGCGTACTTATCATAGCATGTGGGTATTGGGAATGTAAAAAAAACAACTGGTACACGACGATTGTGTGCGGTATGTGAGCATGTGGGGTGTGCGGGAGGGAGAGGGAGCGAGAGATCGAATGAAGTGGGAGGGAGAGGGCGCTGAGGAAGCCGGCGTGGGAAAGCAGGGGGGTTGGGGGGGAGGAGGGGGGGGGGAGGAGGGGGGAGAAAGGAGAAGGAGATGAGGCAGCATACTAGGCTTATACGTTGATCTCCTCACCTCAACGCCGCCACCACCGCCAACAGAAGAAACGTCCGAAGCAGCCGGAACAGGAGCAGGAATCGCCGCAGGGTACGCATGCTGCATTCCTCCCCCACCACCACCATCACCCCCCATCTCCCCTCCACTACCGCCCGCAGGCGACCCTCCCCCTCCTGCCCCTCCGCCTTCCCCCAGCTGCAGCCCCGCGAGCGCCGCGCGCGCCTTGCTCATGCGCGACTGGAGATCCGACATGAAGTCCTGCTGCTGCTGAAACGTCGCCGCCTGATTGGCGCGCTTCCACGCGTCGAACTCCGCGAGGTAGTCCGATTGCAGCTTCTGCCCCTCCGCCGTGTTCGCCGCCTGCTTCGACCACGCCAGCGCCGACAGCGCCGCGGCTTGTTGGATATCGCTCCCGCCCTTGGGACCTCCGCCGCCGGGAGAGCTGTCCATGCTCCCGCCGTCCATGGAGAAGCGCGACTGCAGGCTGCCGGATCCGCCGCCGCCGGACGCGGGCATGTAGGGCTGCATGGGTCCCGAGCCTTGCGGGCTCGAGTCGTTGCTGCCGTACTGGCCTCTCGGCGCCACTCCTCCCCCCATCATTCCCCCATATGGCGCGTTCATTCCTCCGCCGCCGCCGCCCCAGCCCCCCCCTTGCGGAGCTCCCCCGCGCGCAGGGTACTGCTGGTACTGGCCGTAGGATGAGCCAACGGGTGCTCCGTATCCTCCGCCCGATTCGTCGTACTCGCCGCTTCTTCCTCCTGTGAATTCGTTTTTCAGGGATAGCAAGAAAAACACAAAAATGACATCATTATTTTGATTGTTCAATTCTGCCTTCCTCGCCCTTCCTGAATCTTCACCTTCCCGGATTTCAGAAAGGTCTGATCTGCCGTCATTTCTCATTTTCAGAAATCCCTGCATGATCCGAAATGAGATCATATTAGACAGCAAATTGCCACTGACGTAACGCTTACCCGATTCATTGAACCCGCCGCTGTAGGTCGGCTCGAGAGAACCCGAGCCTTGGCCGGACCCTCCCGAGCCTGGCATCAGACGGCCCGAGCCAGCAGGACTTCCCGAAGCAGATGACATGGGCGAGCCTTCCGATTCCTTGTAAAGAACGACCTTGTCCTTTTGAATCACAAAAACGGAGAGACCATGAGGCTTATAACGAACGCAGTACGCTCCGGTACTCGATGACTTGCCCCGCCTGCCAAGTCAAACACAGATCAGCACGTGAGACGGCTTCCAGATACTCTTTCCAAGGTGCATATCTTTTTAAAAAAGGCTCCCGAAGAAAGCTTGAAAAGGAGTGAAACAGCGGGCACGATGCTTACATGCTGAACATTCCTCGCGCATTGGTTCCTAGAACCAGCGTCGTCGCTTTCAGCTTGCTCGACTCTTCCACGATTCCCTTTTCTCTTGAGTTGTTTCGGCCAACCTTCAGCTCCAATTTGATCTGCAGTATCGAATGGACGACAAAAAATGAATGAAACAATATTTTGATCCTCTCTCGTTTCAAAACCGGGTCATTGTCCAGGAAAACCGCAACTCGGAACAGAATGGCTGCAGTCACTCGTATCACTACCACGAGAGACATCAGACGCGATATACCTTGGGGTCGACGAGTTTTTTCAGAGAGAGCATCATAGGCTGCACGATGGTGCGGACATAATGCACAAACATGGTGTTGTTGACCTCGCTCTGATACATCTCCACCGCTCCTGCAACCAGAACCAACCAGAAGAAATCATTGTAGTCAGCGCAGTGAGCACGCAGAAACTGTGTAACGCCATGTAAGGAGCTTTGAAAGATATTCAGGAGAAATGAGCATGCGGATATGGCAGGTATTAAACGCCAGCAATGCACTAAGTTTTGTCAAAATGGATGAAATTGCAGATTTGAACGCCGTAATGACTGCATCTTGACAAAAACAGACGAGTATGATTTTTTTTATCTAAACGACTTAAATACCTGCAACTTGCCTTCCCGCTCCTCCATAAGCACCCATACCTGATCCGTGAAACAGGAATACTAGTTAATGTTGTGCAAGCAACAATAGAAGCACAGACTTACGAAATGCGCACTTGAGGAAACAATCATCCAGTTTAGGAGAAAGGGAGCCATAAAACTGCTTACTTGGGCTGGGAATCTTAGTGACCACATGGAGCAATATAAGAATGTCGTCTGGGCTGCGAACTTTATTCGTGATGGCCCATTTGATGGCTTCTTTACACGATGGGTCCTTACTAACTCCGACAACGACCCTCTCCCCGCCAAACTCAAAGCCGTCACCAGGCGCCATTTCGAGCTCAAGTGACCAAAAGCATCGACACCGCGACCCGAAAAATGAAAAAAAAGGCGAAAAAAAAACTGCGTCTGGAAATCGCTACAGGAAGAAGCCGCGGATAGTTGGAATGTTACAGCTGGCTATCTTTCCCTGATTGCGTGAGGGCTGGGTGGAAGGGATCCAAACCCTAGCCTCTCCGTTAGCAGACTGGAAGCCCTAGGGAGTTCAAGCAGCCACAGCTGGAGGGTAGTACGAGAAGAGGTGAGTGAGGGGGGCGGGGGGGGGAGTCGCGAGGGGAAGGTTGTGGGGAAGCAGAAGCATGGCGGAAAACGGGGACAGCCAGAGGAGAGCAGAAGGCGAGCGGAGCGGAAGGGAAGCAGGAGAGTGGCGGAGGGCAAATGAAGCAGCATGGAGTGGAGGGCTGGATGTGTCCATTGCCCCTTGAAGGGTCATTCTCAACAACCAAAACATGGTTCTCCATGGTTCGGCTAGTTTTTAGACGGTTTATAAAGGACACGTTTGTTCTGGAAACCTCGGATCATGGATATATGCACACAGGGGCAGTGACAGCAGGGGCAAGGGGAGGTGGCCTTGGAGTTGGGACGAACACAGACCACGATCATGACGAGGAACGGCTGTGCGAAACAGGTAACTTGATCAAATGTTACTCTCACATCTAGATATCAACCAAACTAGATATCATAAGACTGTTTATTTGCTTCTTCACGAAACAAACCGCTTCGTTTCTATCTTTCGAAAATGCTCGAATAAGGCCGTTACCAGCTCCCATCCAACCCTTGCATTTTTGGGTGGCATTAGGGACGAGGATGAAGCAGATGTACGGTGGACGAAAGTGTTGTCCGTTTGCAGAAAAGGACCATTTTCACTTGTCCGGCAGTGTTCGCTACCCCAACGAACCATTTTGTAACGTCACGTAGCTGGTGTTCTCGATATGTTTTGGAAATCCCTGCCAGTTCAGAGTTTTACACCCTATTCATCCTGCCCGTTGATGTGTTCTCGTTCTTACATCATTTACTGGGTTCCTTCTGCCCACAGAAAGCAGCCAGTGTTTTTTTAGCCCGACACTAATGTTCACGGTCACAACCAGGTTGCCAGGCTTTGTGAGGGGCAAGGGTGACGACACCAGGCTTTGGCGTTTGCGTGTTTTGCAGCATCTATATTGTCTCTTTTGTGGGAGTAGACTTGGCCAATTGGGGATTTTTTTTTAAAGGGGGTGTAACATGTGCGCAAGAACTAAGCTGGGCCGTGCTGGGCCGCTACGGCCCAGGGGCATTTGCACGGACCAGAGCGGACCAGCACGGACCAGCGAACGGCCCAGTTGTGGACACGGACCAGCATGTACAGTGCGAGACGCACGTACGAAAACGAGGCTCGACACGCATGACCATTTCCAGAGCGACCATCTCGCATGCGAAAACTGCGTTTTGATCGTGCGCCAGAAGGAGCTGCTTTGTGCGAAATCTTGTAAAGGACGCGGTACAGATGCAAATATCGCAGGATCGTCTGCACATATCGATCCCCACAATTGATTGGGCATATCGATTGGCGAAGCGTAGCGATCGCGACGTTGTAACGAACGCCACTGAAATTTTGATAGAGCTCCCGCGATTTGTGATCAGTCGCATTCACACACTGTCCAAAAAATTGGGCCAAAAAGAGTACTGTAGCATAGTTACAACGTGGAAAATAGGGTAACCGTTTTGCACATCGATCACGACTGACGATCGATTGTCTACTTCGACCGCGTCCTAAGGCGCGACCTGGCTCACTTTTGTTTTCGTCAACACTTCGTTTCGAAGCTGCAATGCACTGTGCATAGCTGGTCCGCCGCAAATGGTCCCCGGTACCACGCGGAACCACTTTTGGAAGCGATCCCTCTAAAATGGTGGCCACATGTATTCGCTGGTCCATTTCCTTGTAAATGGACCAGCGCGCAATGTAACACCCCCTAAGAATGCGTTCTCCATCCACTGGCTGGCTGATGAGGTAGCAGTTTCGGTGTGTTCCATAGCACTGGCAGCAGTATGTTGTAATTCGCAATCACAATATACAACTATGATACGCAGGGTAAACATGGCAAACAAACCTGGCTCCCAGAACCCTGCACGTCACTCCAGTTGAGGTGAGCCTGGTCACTGCCAACTCATGCATTGGCCCAAGGTCCATGTCCAGTCAGCGAACCGCGAATTTCAAATCGAGCCGCATTTATTTCTTACCGTGTCGCCTTCTCGCATTTTGCACGTAGGAAATTGCACATCCCTTCGAAAATGTGACATGGATGGGATGAGATTGTAGAGGGCTCGGTTTTGTGAAGAGCCCTTGGACATGGCAGCAGTATCACTGCAGCACAGCACGAGTTTGCTACGCAGGCGTGTACAGATATCTTGCTGTTGATCTTGTTCTGTACGGCTGTTAGCGAATAGTAAGTACACTGATGCAGTTGTTTACTTTCATCCCTTCTGTGAGGAGGTGCTGCAAGGACACACCTGGCGTGATCGTTGCTTCCTTACGGGGTTGTATGGCTTCGTGAGACACAACTGTTCCATCTTAGCTGTTCTGGTCGAACCAACCCCGCTCCCGCCTTTTTCCTTTCCCTATCACCGTCTGTACATTCCCTCGATACAAGTTTGCCCTCCACTCCTGTCCAGCCCATAGTCGAAACCACACTGTTTTGTGACCCTCGGGCTGCCATCCGGCTAGATTGCCAGACGACCTACGAGGCACGAAAGCATCACAAGCCACTTCATAGCTTCTAGGCCTCCCTGTTCCGGCTATCCAAAATTGAGGGTGCTTGAAACCAGCGAACCCGCTAACGAAACGGAGAAGTAAGGCCACACAAGGACAGCCCGCGAGGTTGCAACCATTAACCTAACTACCGTATCACTCGGACGTGGTTATTGCTGCTGATTTAGTAGTCACACCTTTGCTTCAGCCGGTGTGGTCTAACAAGCCAGTCAAAGCGGCAGCATTAGCGTGCAGCGAATGCCCGCACGCATCTTTAGTTGGCTCCTACAACATCACGTATAGCAACGACTGAGCGTGTTTAGTTCCACCCATCGACCATGGCGTCGTGCGCTTCGACTGCTTACCGAGTGCCGTTCTAGCCAGATTTGTCTAAACAGCCTGAATCCCTAGGCTTATTATTGCAACGACGAGGCCTAGTAGCTGAGGCTAGCCGACCACGCGACATGGCTATAGGAACCGTTTATCCGGAACATCGAAATGAACCACCCAATGCCATCGTGCCACCTGGAAGCCCCAACTTGAGCGCAATCGCGGCGACGGCGGCATCTCTAACCACTGACTCGTACAGCATCCTTGCCAGCGCGGATCTGACGTCAGCGCTCTCTCTGGCCGAACACGTGGCACGCCTGACCGCGGCTCCGCACCTTTACGTGCATCGCATCAGCGTGGAGAAAGTCGCGGTGTGCGTGCGACAGCTGCTGCCGACGCTCCATCTTCTTAAAAGCTCCGCGCCGTCGCTCTCCTTTGATCCGCGCTCCGCGTTCGTTCTCCGCCGCCTCGCATCGGAGCTGAAAGACGTTATCGCGTTGCTCAAGGCGTGCAAGCTGACTATACCAGGGATGTTTTTCAGCCTTGGGCATCATCATAAGGGGCTGGCGCGCAAAGCAGACGCGTGCGTGACGGAGATTCGACATTGTCACACCGTCTGCTCGATGCTGCTGGGACAGGCTTCGAATACCACCAATGCCAAAATCGCCGCCGACCACGGGCCGCTGTCGACCTCGTTGGTGTCACAAGCGCCACCGCCGACGCAGCAGAACCACTTCCCGTTACGAACCGTCTCATGCAGTCACACTAGCGGGTCGAGCAAGGAACCTTCCACGTTCCTGGAGTCTTACAGCGGGAGCGGTATCACCGGCGGAAGCGGAAGCTCGGTAATGTTTCCCGGCGACGGGGCGGAACAGCCCGCGCGGGTTCTCCAGCAGGTGGCGGAAATGTTTCCCCAGAGCCCCATGATCGGCCCCTCCGCCGCTACGTTTTCCGCCAAAGACTCCCCAAGGCCTCCCGGGATGATGACGTGGCAGCAGATGCAGGTGCGCGGGATCCCCCCGAGGTCGATCTCCGCCTCCGCCGCTTCCGGGTTTCGCGGGCCGCCTGCGGGGGGACTGTACGGGAGAGGTGGGTCCGCGGGGCGGCAACGACCGGGGATTTTAGCAGGGGCGCCGCCGCTGGCGCTCCTCGGGGGGGAGCGGAGGGAGCGCGATAGCAGTGCAGCCGATGCTGCAGCGTCCGCGGCACTCGCCTTGATAGGAGCTAACAACGGCGGTGGCGGCGGTGTTGGAGGGAGCCGGTTCGCGGGCCCGGGCCGAACCTACACCGTCTCCTCCGCTTCCTCCGGCAGGATGCAGCCATACTACGGCTCGATCGCCGTCTCGCCTCGTCCGCTCAGCCCCGCGACCGCCGCCGCCGCCGCCGCTGCCGCCGCGTTCGCCGCGCCAAGGATGTTCTCCCCGCGACGCCCCCGCGCGTCGTCCCCGCTGCCGTCCGCGCTCAATCGGTCGAGCATCTCCGCCGCCGCTGCGGCGAGCGCGAACGTGTGCCGGCTAGTGGACGCACTGGCGGAAGGATCGGCGGAAGAGAAGCGCGCGGCTCTGGCCTCGCTAATGGATGTGATTGTAACGGATGAGGGGAAGCTCCAAGCCGCGGCGGCGGGGGCGGTGCCGGTCCTGTCGGTGCTGCTGTCGTTGCCTGAAGACGACTTCCTTTTGGACGACGAGTCAGCGTTACCCGGTTGCGCAGACGACGATGATTGGTTCCAAGGAGGGGGGGTGCTCTCCGCCGGGGGAAGCGGGGGTGGAAGCGGAGAGGGGAGCAGAGGGGGGAGCGCGGGTAGCCGGGGAACGGTAAAAACAGGCAAGGGCAGCGGGGGTGTGGAACGGGGAAAACCAGGAGGGATCAGTTGCGGAAGGGGCGCGGTGGCGGCGTTGCTTCCGCTTCCGCCGCTTCCGGAGCCCCCTCCACGCGAATCGCTGAACCTTCTCGTGGCGCGCGCTTTGGTGCAGCTTTCCGCGCTTCCCGCTAACTGCCAGGTCATCGCTAAGGCGGGGTGCGTGCCGTCGCTAATCGCCATGCTTCGCGGCGGCAACCCCGAGGCGCAGGCGGTCGCGGTGAACCTGCTGCTGAACCTTGCGACGGGCTGCGACAGCGACTGCGACAGCAAATCGCCAGCGATCGTCGCAGGCGAGGCGATCCCGTCGCTCGTCGCCATCGTCCATTCAGCGAGCGAGGCGAAAGTCCGGCGACAGGCGATGGAGGCCCTCGCGCATGTCGTCGCGAAGGCCAAGGAGAACCAAGACGCCGCGGCGCGAGCCGGCGCGATCCCGATATTGACAGAAGCGTTAAGAGAAGGCTCGCTGCTGGTACAGGAAAAAGCGGCGTTTGCGCTGGGCTCGATAGCGGAGGATAACGACGAAAATAAAGTAATGATTGCTGGGACGGGAGCCGTGCCGCCGCTGCTAGATCTCCTTCTGTGCGGGCCGGCAGATATCAGCCTGCAGGAGCGCGTTTCGCGGCGGGCGGCGTGGGCGTTGTTTGCGCTGAGCTCGCATCGTTTGTCCGCTTCGTACATCGTAGCCTCTGGCGGGTTGGACGTTGTGAAACGAGCTAACGAGGATGGGCCGTTGGATACGAAGGAATGGACGGCGAAGATCATCCCGCTTTTGGAGCCAGTGGCGGAGCAGCACCAGCAGGAGCAGCAGCAGGCGGCGTGGCAGCAGAAGTGGACGAATCAGCGCCGGGGGGGAGCTGAAACGGCCCTGCGAAAATCGTACGATGACGTGGCATCGTTTCAAGAAGGTCAGCGTCCGAACGGGCAGAAACCTTCCAGGTTTAAAGAGCGGGATAATAGCTGCCCAGATGGGTCAGAATTGGGTGACAATGAGACGGAAGATGGGCAGAGGAGGAAACAATTGCAGGAGGACGAGCAGATGGAAGCGAAAGTTGACAAGAAAGTGGAATCTAGTGAGAAAGCGGAGTGCGAAGTAAAGAGCACGGGTGGTGAGGAGGAAGCGGCTTATAAGGTTACGAAGAGTCATGATTTTGGAGAGAAAATTAAGAATGAGAAGCAGGCTCTGGAGAAAGAGCAGACACAGCCACAGAAGCACAAGCAGGAGGGACAGCAGGAGCAGAAGCAGCCACACCACAGGAAGCAGCAGCATCAGCAGCAGCAGCTCCAGAAGCGACCAATGTGGCAGTTCAGTGTTCATCCTTCATCAAGCCCTGGTGGAAACTTCAGGCAGATGTGCAAGCAGAAGACGCAATCACCACTGCCACAGCAGCAGCTACAACAAAACAAGGCGGCCAGCAATGTCAGGTAAGGATTGAGGTAGAATAAATCCAGTGTGTGACAAGCAAACAGTGTGAGTACTCTAGTTTTTCTACCTGGAAGAATGACCATGCACACTATTATGCTCTCCATTCTACAAGTTTTCCACTCTAGGGACTGAACCACGGCATGCTTTGCCGTCCAATTACCATATATGCTTAAAACACTCCTTGATTCCCGTTTTCAGGTCATGCAGGGTTCACAAACAGGAGTTGTGACCTGGAAGATGCGGCCTTCTAACAACTTACCCATGCACCTTGTTTCGTCCCAAGGCGGAGAGGCTCTTTTGACTGACCTATGGCCATTCGCTACGTTTCTTTTGATGATAATGACCTGACAATCTGAAGTGGTAGGCTTCTTTTTTCCAGTTTGCATGCTTGTTTAGACTAACTTTCATTCATGCTTTGCTGAAGCTGTCCATAATGTTGCGTGCATTTTCGCAAAAAGTGCGTATAGTGCTTGAGATGGCTGCGTTCCCTCTCGAATGGAGTCAAGTGACAATATTACCAGTACACTTCAAATTCAAAACACCTGCTAAGCTGGAACACGCTATTGACTTTAAGGATCTTGTAACGGGTCACCCGTTAGAACCTACAGCACTTTGTCCACGAATCGGCGACACGCTAGTTTTCGGTGTGCTGGGCAATCGGGTACAGTAACGGACGGAAGCCATGTGATGGCAGGTGTGGTTTAGGTTGGAAGACTCGCGACAAAATTTGGCGAGGCACGGTGGAGGTGTGAAGAAGGAGCTGTAGAGGAATGTGGAACCAGAGCGGGCAGTTTCACCAGCCTCGTGCTTTGTCGTTGACAAACAAACTCGAAACGGTTGGCAGAAACGCCCGTTACTCGGTTATTGAAGGTTCGTTGTATCATACACATCTCAAGCGGAAAAATTATTTCGGTAAAGAAAGAAGGTTTTTGCCTTCAAGAATGTGTTGCCGCTTCTACTCGCGTTTTTGTTTGGTTTCCATGTTGTAATCTTGCAAAATCTTTGGGTAATTCGCTCCATCGCAGCCCTTTCTCCTCCACGTTCGGACGGCCATCCTGTACCGTGCCGCTTTCTTCTGGCTGATGCCAGTTTTTCCAATGGTGAAAATCTCTCCATCAAAAGAACTTATGTTAGCTTGTCCTTTTCTCCAGCCTGCCTTGCTTGCTTAGCTTATGGAACACAGCATTGAGAGACCCATGGCTGGAACAGGAACGATATCACAACAATCTTGCATCAACAATCCCGCTAAATAGCTCGCGCAGCATTGCGATCGTTCGCGTGGTGCGATATAAATAGAAAGCGAATGCTTGTACATAGAGCCGTGATCTCGCCTTCCCAACTAGCTCAAGCTTTTTGTTCCCACAAATTTCGTGTAATTCGAGTAATGTTACGTTTTCTGTGTCGACAAAAAATGAAAGCTCAAGCGTGAGAGTCTTCGCATTGTCATTTAGAGCACGGCGATAAGCTATTTCTTCCTTAACAGTGAAGCCTGGGTACCGTTAATTCCCTCAAAAGCGTGAAGACCACTGGTGCACCAGTGACATAACGCCAAGGATTGCCAGGGAATGCCACGGATTGCTTTTAGAACTCCTGGATGCTTTGGTGATGACGAAAACTCGAGTAATGGCGGGCGAACACAACGAGTCTCTTCATAAGCTATCGGATAGTAACGGCGCTGGCTATAATGACGGAAACACTCTCTCTTGTCCAAGCTGTTTATATCCTGCGCGGTTAGCCATTATTCTCTCGTTCTAAGAGCTCGCCACGTGGCGCAAGGACCAGCACTTCATAGTCTCGTCATTGGACGATCCTGTAGGGTTCGTGGTCGCGTCAAATCAGGGATTGATCCAGCGGGTATCGCGGAGCCACGCGACGACTATGTTACACGCAACAGTCGCCGACGTAGCTTCCAGCCGTGCTTCACCACCCTGTCTATCTCCCCGCGATTCACGGCGACAGCCTTTGAGTTACCGTTGCTGTCGCGGAGCGAATCGACCTGAAAACATGCGCACTAGCTGCGACTCACAGCGACAGCAGCTACCGCGTTTTCCGGAGCTCCTGACGAGCCTGATAGTACCGTTGCTGCTTCTGCTGCTGCTGGCACTGGCAGTCGGTCAAGCAGAAGGTATGCCCGGAGATTTCGGTTCTAGATTAAGTTAGGGTCACTTTTGAGAATTCTCAAAAGGTATGCCAGGAGCTTCGGCTCAAGATGAACTTGGAAAGGTTCTCTTCGGTTCAGGATTGATGTGGAAAGGTTCCTGGCGGTTCAGGATCGATATGGGATATGGGAAGGTTTCCAGCTCAGGATTAGCGTGGCTGCTGCTAGTCTGTCTACAGACGGTCCTTTCTTGCCATCCCTTTCTCACCCTACTGTCAACCCACCTTCTTACTCACCCTCTCCCTTCCCCTCCCTTTGCCTCTCTCCCCAACCCCCTCCTTCCCTTTCCCTCTTTGATCCCCTCGTTCTCGCTCTTCCCATCCCTTTTCCCTCCCACTTCCCCCCCACGCCCTCCCTCCCCTCCCTTTTCCTCCGTTTCCCCACTCCCCCCTCCCCCTCTTCCCGTCTCTCTCCACCGCTTCGCATCCCTTCCCACTCCTTTATCCACCAGCCGCGTGCCCGCTGCTGCCGGAGGTGCATGTGGACGCGACAGCCAGCAGCCAGGCCGCTCAATGCTGTGGGGACTCCGGCAATCCCTGTGGTGAGCTGCTGGAGAGTTTGCTAGAAACTATGTTGTAAAGTGTCTGTGAGATTTGATCCCTGGCCCTCCGTTTGTCCGTTCAGTCACCTCTTTCTCGCTTTCTTAAATTCACTTGTGATATTTTCCTAAAACCGAATCTTGCTCTCTTTTGCTCCGTTCCCACACTGACCCCTCTTCCTTCCCTCTTCCCTTGTCACATGTCTTGTCTTCCCTGACTTGCGTCCGCCCAATGTCTTTCAGGCACAATCGAACAGGCTCTTACCATGTAAGTCCCCTGTCTCTATCTCCAAACCTCCGCTCCCCCCTTTCTCCCTTGCCTCCCTGCTTCCCCAACTCCTCCTTCCCTCCCTCTGCCCCTCCCTCCATTCGCCCTCCGCCCGTCCGTCCCTCCCTTCGCATTCCTTCCTTCTGTCCTTTCTCCAGTCACGCTTCTTATGAATCCCTTCACTGCCCCTTGCTTACTACACCACTCTCGCTTTCCCCCACACTCACCCCAAATTCCCTGTCCCCACCACCTCAACCTTTCACCCCTCCACTCTCCCTTCTCTTCCCTCCCCACCCCCACCAGCATCCCCCCCAACAGGTTCCACCATCCTTCTCTCTCCAGACACTCACCCTGTCCCTCCCTTCGGCCTGCAACTGGGGGGTCTTCCCCCTCACCATGCTCACCCTCCCCCACACTCACTCCAATCACTGCGCCATACACACAGTCTTCATCCCTGTACCGTCAACCTTTCACCCCTCCACTCTCTCTTCCCTTCCCCATCCACTTCCCCATCCCCACCAGCATCCTCTTGCAGGTGGCACGGTGGTACCTACCATCCCCCTGTCCCCAGGCACGCACTCCGTCCCTCCCTTCGGCCTGCAACTAGGGGGATCTTCTCTTCCCCTCACCATCACTACCGCCTCATACCCTTCCCCGTACCCTTCCCCAACCCCACGCACCAGTATCCCTCCTACAGGCGGAACCATCCTCCTGTCCCCTGGCACTCACGCTGTCCCTCCCCTCGGCTTGCAACTGGGGGGTCGTCCCCTCACCATCACTGCTGCCACTGCTACTGGTGACACCTCCGCCCCTCCCGTCATCAGCTGTGAGAGCAGCAACGGCAGCAACAGCAGCAGCGGGTCGTGTTTAACTGCCACGTGTGCAGCTTCCAGCACTGGAGCAGGGGGCGGGAGCATTTGCAGTGAGCAGCAGGCGAAGCTGGTGTTGCGGGGAGTGGTAGTGGCCAATGGCAGAGCAGAAATCACCAGCAGTGTTGGCACTGGCAGCAACAGCAGCAGCAGCAGTGCTGGTGGCAGCGCAGGAAGCGGGGGTTGTCTGCTGGTGCAGGGGCAGGCAGTGGAGGTGACAAACTCCTCGTTCCTCAACTGCACTGCTGCTGACGGTGGTGGGGCAATCTTTGCTGTTGATTCCCCCAACGTTACCATCTCTGGCTCTCGCTTTGAAGGCTGTAAGGCTCTTGGCGGCCCCACTGCCACTGCTGGCGCTGCTGGTGGTGCCGGTGGTGCTGGCGCCGGTGGTGCTGGTGCTGCTGGTGGTGCAGCTGAAACCATTGGCAAAGGAGGAGGAGCCGTTGCTCTATACAGCGTCGCCCACGTGGAGGTCTCCGATTCGTCCCTTCGCGACTGCACCTCCTCATCCACCAATGGCGGCGGCCTCACCATCGTCTCGTCCAACGCCGCGCTGACAGCTGTCCGCTTCTCGGGCTGCTACGCTCAGAACCTGGGCGGCGCGGTCTCGTCTTCTCTCTCCAACATGACTGTAACGAGCTGCGAGTTCCGCAACTCGCGGGCCATGCGGGGAGGATGCTTCTCGGATGATTCCTCCCCGCTCGTCTCCATCTCCTCGTCCTCGTTCCTCCGGTGTAACGCGGATGTATCTAAGGAAGGGGATGTTTACAGCAAGGTGAACGGCGGTGGGGTTGCACTCAATGCAACCGCCTCTTTCGCCATCCAAAACTGTACCTTCTCCCGCTGCCTCGCGGTTATGGACGGGGGCGGTCTCGACGCTCTCGATCCCGGAAACCTCACTATAGACTCCTCCACTTTCCGCTTGTGCTCCGCGTACGATAATACTGGCGGCGGCGGGGGAGCGGTGTCGTCCCGCGGCGGGAACATCACCATTCGGGGAACTCTGATGGAGAAAAACTGGGTGAACAGCACTATGGTTGGCTTTGGCGGGGCGATCACTATTATGGATACAGAATTGGGGATTTTTAACTCGACTTTCCGGGAGAATATCGCGTACGGGCATTTGTACGGAACGCTGAGCCAGGGAGGGGTGATTAATCAGCAGTGGACCAGACGGGACGTGGTGATTCCGCTGGTGATGGAGGAGTGTGCGTTTGAGAGGAATGTGGCGGATTTCGGAGCGGTGGGGTACTTTGAGGGCCATGTGACTGTGAGGCGGTCGCGGCATGAGAGGAACGAGGCGCAGTTCAGATACGGCGGCGCGTGTGAGTATATGGGGAGTATGAGGGTGGGTGGGAACATGCGTTGTTTGCTGCAGCTGTAGAGGGCGATTGCCGCAGCAGCCTCACTCCTTCCCATCTACCATCTCCCGTGCTCCCATGCACTCCCGTGCTCCCATGCACTGCCGTGCTCCCATGCACTGCCGTGCTCCCATGCACTGCCGTGCTCCCATGCACTCCCGTGCTCCCATGCACTGCCGTGCTCCCATGCACTCCCGTGCTCCCATGCACTGCCGTGCTCCCATGCACTCCCGTGCTCCCATGCACTGCCGTGCTCCCATGCACTCCCGTGCTCCCATGCACTGCCGTGCTCCCATGCACTCCCGTGCTCCCATGCACTGCCGTGCTCCCATGCACTCCCGTGCTCCCATGCACTCCCGTGCTCCCATGCACTCCCGTGCTCCCATGCACTCCCGTGCTCCCATGCACTCCCGTGCTCCCATGCACTGCTCTGTGTAGAATGGTTATTTCTGAGACGTCTCAAAAATAACCTATCTACACGTGGCGTGGCATCTACCATCTCCCGTGCTCCCATGCACTGTTCTGTCTGAACCCTCTCCCTGCTCTTCCTTGCAACCCATTCCCCCCGTCCCCCCCCAGACTACGCCACCGTGAGCACCACCATAGAGGATTCTCTCTTCGCACACAACACCGTGCTGCAGGACGGGGGGGCGATCGCCACAGCCTTCACTTCTTCATGCTCCCATGCACCGCTCTAAACCACCTCATATCCCCCCTAATCCCTCTCCCCCCCAGACTACGCCACCATGAGCACCACCATAGAGGATTCTCTCTTCGCGCACAACACCGTGCTGCAGGACGGGGGGGCGATCGCCACAGCAGGGCTGATGGCCACGGTGGTGCGCGGGTGTGTGTTTCGCAACAACACCGCCATCTCTGGGGAGGGGGGCGCGATCGTTGTGCTCGAGGTGAGTCAACCCAGTCAATCAAGTCAACATATAAAACGGGGTGGTCACATGACCTGTCTCTGGGTTCTTGAATTGAAAGTGATGCGTGTCTGTTCCATGCGCGCCTTGACCCGCCCTCTTCATTTCCCGCATGCTTCTATCTCCTCTCTCCTCCCTCCCCTCTCCTCGCCCTTCTCTCCTCTCTCCTTCTCTCCTCTCTCCTTCTCTCCTCTCTCCTCTCTCCCCTCGCCCGTGCAACAGGGAACGGAGGGAGCAGTGGAGGTGGAGGGGAGTCGATTTGAGGGCAACACAGCACCGGCATCCAAGGGGGGTGCCATCTCTGCTGCCTCTGCTCGCCTCACCCTCGCCCACACCACCTTCCACCACAACCGTGCTCTTGTCAAGGGCGGTGCTGTTGCAGGTGGGTTGACTGGAAGGGGATGGTTGACGGGAAGGGGGTGGTTGACTGGAAGGGGGTGGTTGACTGGAAGGGGGTGGTTGACGGGAAGGGGGTGGTTGACTGGAAGGGGGTGGTTGACTGGAAGGGGGTGGTTGACTGGAAGGGGGTGGTTGACTGGAAGGGGGTGGTTGACTGGAAGGGGGTGGTTGACTGGAAGGGGGTGGTTGACTGGAAGGGGGTGGTTGACTGGAAAGGGGTGGTTGACTGGAAGGGGGTGGGCTGTCTTTTAAGGGAAATGTTGTGATGCTATTGTTCGCCTCACCCTCGCCCACACCACCTTCCACCGCAACCATGCTGTTGTGAAGCGTGGTGCTGTGGCAGGTGGGTTGGAGTTGAACCGTTGAACGGCATGCCACGTGCCATCGGTCATTCTTTTGTTTTTCTATGTTGAGTTTACTAGTTTACTATGTTGAGAATTCTCCGAAGTAAACTCAACATAGTTGAACCGTTGAACGGCATGCCACGTGCCATCGGTCACTCTTTTCCTTTTCCCTTTCTCTCTCTCACGCATCTCCTTCCCTCTATCTCTCCCTGCCTCTCTCTTCTCTCCCTCCCCTACCTCGGCAGTTTCGCACCCAACTTCTCCTCCCAGCGACAACACCACCACCACCACCGGCAGCAGCAGCAGCACCCTCCCCACAGCACACTTCTCAAACGTGACCTTCGGTGAAAACAGCGCCACGCTGGGGGGAGCAGCGCTGCATCTGGGCATGGCGGCGCGCGCTGCACTCATGGGGTGCCGCCTGGAGGGCGGGCAGGCCAGCAACGGCGGCGGTGTGATGCTGGAGGAGTTTGCACAGCTGCAGATGGCACGATCCGAGTGCACTGGGAACAGGTGAGAGGAGGCTGGGGGCTGTGCTTGGGAGGTGGCTCGGGTGAGTCAAGAGCTGCTTGGTTGGTTGGAGGGCAGGCTAGCAACGGTGGCGGTGTGTGTGATGCTGGAGGAGTTCGCACAGCTGCAGATGGCACGATCCGAGTGCACTGGGAACAGGTTAGGAAGCATATAAATTCTCAATTTACATACTGATGAAGTATCCTCCCGTTTGCCACTGCCCGTTTCCTCTCCCCGTTATTTGAGATGTGTTTAAATATATATATCCCTCTTTCCTGTGCTCCTGTCCTGCCCTTTTCTTTCCCTCACCTGTTCCCACTTTCCAGCGCGCCATCTGGGGGAGGCTGCATCTCCATGAGCGAGCTGGCCTCCGTTACAATCACATCCAGCAATGTCACGTCCAACCAGGGCGGCAACGAGGGTGGCGCCATCCGGGCCACAGGGCAAACCCGCTTGACCATCACGGATTCTCATTTCTTCAACAACTCGGCCATGGATGGCGGCATGCTCTGGTCCGAGATGAACTCGCAGGTGTGTGTGCACTGCGGCTCTCCTTCCGCCTTTCCTCTGTCTCGTTTGACCCCTTAGCACATGTTGCGCACTCCACACGGCATTAAGGGCCATCTGAGTTCTTCAACAGCTCGGCCATGGATGGCGGCATGCTCTGGTCCGAGATGAACTCGCAGGTGTGTGTGCACTGCGGCTCTCCTTCCGCCTTTCCTCTGTCTCGTTTGACCCCTTAGCACATGTTGCGCACTCCACACGGCATTAAGGGCCATCTGAGTTCTTCAACAGCTCGGCCATGGATGGCGGCATGCTCTGGGCCGAGATGAACTCGCAGGTAATTCTCTCCCTCCTTCTCGTTTGACCCTTAGCACCTGTTGCGCACGGCCCATCAGAGCCATGGGGCAGTCATAATCCGCTTGACCATCACGGATTCCCATTTCTTCAACAACTCGGCCATGGATGGCGGCATGCTCTGGTCCGAGATGGACTCGCAGGTATGTGCGATGCAACCCTTGCTTGTCCCTCCCAGGTATCTGTGGCGAAACTCAGACCACAGAGCAAATGTTTGAAGTAGTGTTTTGAGACGTCTCAGCGACCGAGCCCTCCTTTCCACTGCCCTCACCTCCTCTCTCTCCTCCTCCCCACCTCCCATGCCCATCACCCCCCTCACATGCTCTCACATCAGGTGCACATCTCCTCGTCTGTCATGGCCCGCAACAGCGCCACCATCCAGGGCGGGGCGCTCTACTGCATTCACAACGCGCGCCTCTCGCTGCTCGCCTCCTCCCTGCGCGCCAACACTGCCGCACGAAGAAGGGAAAGGGAGGGGGGGTGGGGCAAAACCACTATATCTCACCTCTCTTTCTCACTGTCCTCAACTCCCTGCCAACCCTCTCTACCCATACCCTTCACTCACCCCTTCACATAATACACCAGGTGCACATCTCATCATCAGTCATGGCCCGCAACAGCGCCACCATCCAGGGCGGGGCGCTCTACTGCATTCAGAACGCGCGCCTCTCGCTGCTCGCCTCCTCCCTGCGCGCCAACACTGCCGCACGAAGAAGGGAAAGGGAGGGGGGGTGGGGCAAAACCACTATATCTCACCTCTCTTTCTCACTGTCCTCAACTCCCTGCCAACCCTCTCTACCCATACCCTTCACCCCTTCACATAATACACCAGGTGCACATCTCATCATCAGTCATGGCCCGCAACAGCGCCACCATCCAGGGCGGGGCGCTCTACTGCATTCAGAACGCACGCCTCTCGCTGCTCGCCTCCTCCCTGCGCGCCAACACAGCCGCACGCGGCGGGGCCATTCTCGCGGAAGGGGGAGTCCGCCTGCTGGTCGCTGTGCGGGTGGGCAGCAAATCGCCCACGGTCTTTGAAGGGAACTCGCAGCATGCGGTGGTGCTGCAGGGGCAGGCAGTGGGGTCTTTTTACGGGCCGGTTCTCTTTCGGGGGAATGCGGGGGGAAGCACGATGGACGTGGGGGATGGAGGGGCGATTTTTGCCACGGATTCGACCGTAGTGGTGGTGGGGGGTGGAGTGGGGTTTGAGGGGAACACGGGGCATAGAGGAGGTGCGATTTTCTGTGATGCAGAGAGCTCGCTGAGTGTTAGCTCGCGGGTGGATGATGCTGCTGTTGCTGCTGCTTATGCCGCTGCTGGTGGCGCTGCTGCTGCTGCTGCTGCTTCTACTGCTGCTGCTGCTCGTTATGATGAGAGTGCTACAGTCACAGCTGCATCAACTACAGCATCTGCTGCTGCTGACCCAGCACCCACGCCCCAAGCACCCATGTTCTCAAACAATCAGGCGCAGGAGGCCGGCGGGGCAATCTTTGTGGCCGGCAACACGTCCCTGCAGATCTCCGATTCGATCTTCGAGTCCAACCGGGCGGCGATGGGGACAGGTGGCGCGATCCTAGTGCTCGACTACGCGCACGGGGACCTGCGGAATTGCGCTTTCCGAAGCAACGAGGCAGGCTCGGACGGGTCGGCTGTGTACCTGGATCGGGGAGGCATGGGGGGAGGTTCGGGAGGAGGAGCGGGTGGGGGTGAGGAAAGAGGGGGAACTGGGGGAACGGGGGGGGTTGGGGGAAGTGGAGGAGGTGGGGGGGCGGGGGGAACGGGGTTTAGCAAGGCAGCGGTGGGGGCTGTGGTTATGGCGTCTGATATTGCAGGGTTGCTGCAGGCAGGGAGTAACCTTGGCGCTGCTGCCAATGCCACTGCTGGTACTGCCAGCACTAGCGCCAACGGTAGCAGCAACACCATCACCAACAGCAGTGCCAGCGGCAGCAGCGGCAGCGGCAGCGGTGGTGACGGTGTGAGTGTGAGTGGCGGGCTGCTGCCTCTGAACGTGTCTGGTCTGTCGTTCTACCGCAACAGAGTCACTGGTAACGGCAGCATCCCAGCTCTTGCCAGCGGTGGCAGTGCTAGTGGTGCTGGTGGTGGCAGTGGTGCTGGGGGGAGTGCAGGTGGTGCAGGAGGGGGAGGGGCAGGGGCAGGGGCAGGGGCAGGGGCAGGGGGAGGGGGAGGGGCGGGGGGGATTGCAATGGCAGCAGGCGGGCTTGGGTCGGCGTTTCTTGACGCGACGTTCCTCCCTGCCATGCGGTCGACGTGTGTGGGGTGTGAGAGCAAAGACAAGCAGGACACCATCGGCACTCTCCCTTCCTCCTTCCGTCTCCAGTGAGTCTCAGTCACCCTCATTCCCTAACTCCCTCACTCCCTCACGTCCCCATCCGTGGCTCCCCGCTGCTCTGGTCATCATGTTTCCACTTATTAGCTCCACCCTTGTGACTTTTGAGTCGACTCAAAAGTCACCTCTGCTCTGGTCATCATGATTCATGTTTCCTCTTATTAGCTTCACCCTTGCCTCCTTCTCCCTCCCCCTCTCCTTTCCCATTCCCCCTTCCCCCTTCCCCCCAGGTGGTCAGGCCAGAATGACTCAGCAGCAGGTGCCACCACAACTGACATGGTATTTCAGGTGAAGGGCGATTGCGCTGCCACTGCCACTGCCACTGCCACTGCCACTGCCACTGCCACTGCCACTGCCACTGCCACTGCCACTGCCACTGCCACTGCCACTGCCACTGCCACTGCCACTGCCACTGCCACTGCCACTGCCACTGCCACTGCCACTGCCACTGCCACTGCCACTGCCACTGCCACTGCCACTGCCACTGCCACTGCCACTGCCACTGCCACTGCCACTGCCACTGCCACTGCCACTGCCACTGCCACTGCCACTGCCACTGCCACTGCCACTGAATCGGTATACAGTGGCAGGGCTGCACGTCACCGTGCTGGACGCCGCAGGCCTCATCCCAGTCAAAGCCTCCGTCCTCCCCACCCCCTCTCTCCATCGCACTCACTCGCCTCTCCCCTTTCCCATGCCTCGTCCACCCCCCTGTTCCGCTGATCCCCTCCCCACAGGTGGTCAGGGCAGAACGATGCATCTGGAAGCACCACGCCATTCCAGGTGAAGGGAGACAGGGCTAATCCAGTGACAGGGCTGCATGTCACAGTGCTGGACGCAGCAGGCCTCATCCCAGTCAACGACTTCCGAGCCAAAGCCTCCATCCTCCCCACTCCTTCCATAAGCGGCCTCCTGCAGGCCATAGCAGTCAACGGCCGCGCCACCATCCCCCCCGTTTCCATCGTCGAACCACCCGAATCCGGGAATCTCTCGCTCACGCTGTCGGTTTCCTCGTCGTTGGATGCGTTTCCGCCGATCGCACGGACGGTCGAGATCGTCTTCTGCCCGCCCGGGCAGTTTTACACCCGCCCGGGGATGACCTGCGAGGTCTGCCCAATCGGGAGCTGGTGCGGGTCCGGGCGGGGCGCGGAGCTCTGCCCGCCGGGCAGCTTTAGTTTTTTCCCGGGCACAGCATCCCTCACCGATTGTTTACCCTGCCCGATGACCCGCGACGTTCTTAAAGACACGCTAGCGGTGACGTGCGAGCAAGGGAAGATGACAGTAGAGGAGGGGTTCTGGTTTGACTTCAACAGTATCAGCTCTGGCATCCCTGCCGTGTATGCCTGCGACGTGTTAGATGGATGTGCAGGGCTGGTCTACCCTTCCAACTCCTCTGAACCCACTGTGATTACTACCCAACAGCCGCAGCAGCAGCAGCAGGCGGCAGCAAATGCAACTCTGGAGCAGCAGCAATGCAAGCAGGGGTACAACGAGAATCGGCTCTGCTCCAGCTGCGCGCCCGGATACTACTCAGTGCTCAAGTTCTGCTACCAGTGCGCACCCACCTTCCAGCGCCTCTTCCCGCTGCTGCTCCTGCTCATCGTGCTCGCCTGGGTGGCCATGGGGATTTTGTCGGACTCGTTTCACACCATTGCTATACTCGCTATAGAGCTGCAGATGCTGACGTTTATCGGGTCGTACAACCTCCCGCTGCCCTCCTGGGTGAACACCATTATTCAGTACTTCCAGATCGCGCTCTTCGTACCGGTAAGCACTGCTCTCGACCCAGGTGTTGTCGTTGTATGGCTCATCCCTTCCCCCATCCTCAGGGCATCATTGGGCCAGGCTGCACAGTCATAATGGGCGGGTTGTACTCCTTTGTACTCCTTTGTGCAGCAGTGGGCAGTCACGATGGTCATCCCCATAACCACACCAAACTCCGTTCCCATGATCACTTCTCACCTCATCCATCTGCCCATATTCCCCTCCAATCCACAGGACGTGATCGGGCCAGGCTGCACAGTCACCTACTCATTCGTGCAGCAGTGGGCAGTCACCATGGTCATCCCCGTTTTAGGCGTCCTCGTTTACGCCTGCCTCTACCTCACACACCGCCTCTACTCCCACACCATCACCCGAATCTACGGCACCCCCAAGAACCACCCCATCACCAGCACCACCAGCTTCACCCCTTCGGCCGCCGCCTCCGCTGCTGCTGCTGCTTCTGCTGCTGCTGCTGCGTCTGCTCCCTCTCTCCGCACCGATATCGACGGCACCAGTTTCTCGCGAGCTCCAAGCAGCATCGGCTCTCGGGCAGACGACTTGGGCGGGCACGTGACGACAAAACGCGAGATGTTTGACAAGTACGAAAACACGCTGATCCACGGGGTGACCAACTGGCTCGATCTCAGCTACGCAGCTGTAACCTTCCGGTGTTTCCAGGCGTTCTACCGGCACTGGTACGGCGCGGACGTGATGGGTGCTGCGCCGTATATCGGGTGGTTTTCCGAGACGCACACGGTGGTGTTTGCGCTGTCGGTGGTGATTGCGGTGGTGTATGTGGCGGGTGCGCCGGTGTGCTACGCGCTGGTGCTGTGGCTGGGGAAGTCGAAAGGCTTGCTGGCAAGTCATACGTACAAGATGCGATGGGGGTGGATGGTCAGCCGGTGAGTGACACATGATGGGTGGATGGTCAGCCGGTGAGTGACACATGATGGGTGGATGGTCAGCCGGTGAGTGACACATGATGGGTGGATGGTCAGCCGGTGAGTGACACATGATGGGTGGATGGTCAGCCGGTGAGTGACACATGATGGGTGGATGGTCAGCCGGTGAGTGACACATGATGGGTGGATGGTCAGCCGGTGAGTGACACATGATGGGTGGATGGTCAGCCGGTGAGTGACACATGACTTTTGAGGCGCCTCAAAAGGGGTGGATGGTCAGCCGGTGAGTTTTGAGGCGCCTCAAAAGTCAGCCGGTGAGTGACACATGATGGGTGTTGCATAGCATTGCAGGCATGCACTACGTTCCCCTCACGTGTGAGCTGCATTGCATGGTGCATGGCACCTCATGGCATGTGATTTGTGTTTTCCCACCCTCCCGCCCGCACATGTGTGGTGCATGGCATTGCATGGCATGTGATGTGTGGTGCATTGCATTGCATTGCATGGCATGGCATGGCATGGCATGGCATGGCATGTGATGTGTGGTGCATTGCATTGCATTGCATGGCATGGCATGGCATGGCATGGCATGGCATGGCATGGCACAGGTACGAGTACGACTACTTCTGGTGGCACCTCACCTGCTATGCCCGTCGCATCATCCTCGTCTCCATCACCGTCTTTGGCGTGCAGTCACCCCAGATGCAGGTATGCATGCGTGTAGTGACGGAGGTGGGCATAACAACTCTTCTCTACTTCATTACAGTAGTGACACAGTTCGAAGATTCCACTTCCCCACTCCGCCAACACTCTCCTCTTTCCCCCCCCCCCCCTTCCTCACTTGCTCCCCCACTATCTCCCCCCACCTCATCAGGTATCAGTGACTCTCCCTCTGCAAGCCATTCGCATCGGCCTGCAGTACGGCGCATCCCCCTTTGCAGCCTTCTCGCACGACGTGCTCAACTCGCTGCTCGCTGCCCTTCCCTTCTCGCCTCCTTCCTTATCCATCTTGCCATCCCCTCCCCCAATCAGGTATCAGTGACCCTCCCTCTCCAGGCCATTCGCATCGGCCTACAATATGGAGCCTCTCCCTTCGCAGCCTTCTCGCACGATGTGCTCAACTCGCTGCCCGCACTCGCAGAGCTGCTCTTCACGGTGGTGCTCACGGGCTTTAACTTCACTTCTGAGGCCCCTCAAGAATAGCCAAACAGCCACCCTGCGGAACGGTACATCCCGCTCTCCTCTTCCTCAGTCCTTTTGCCTGATCCACCCCCCTCCCCTCCCCACCCCTCCCCTCCCCTCCCCTCCTCCCCCCAATTCAGGTATCAGTGACCCTGCCCCTGCAAGCCATTCGCATCGGCCTACAGTACGGCGCATCCCCCTTCGCAGCCTTCTCGCACGACGTGCTCAACTCGCTGCTCGCACTTGCAGAGCTGCTCTTCACGGTGGCACTCACGGGCTTTAACTACATCGGCATCACCACCGGGGCCAACGTCCTCTTTGCCTTCTCCTTTGCTCTCGTCTTCCTCCCCACGCTCCTCATCCTCTGCTACGAGCTCGTCAACTGGTAAGTTGTTGTTGTTGTTGTTTTTTTGTTGTTTTGTTTTTGGTTGCATTTCACAGCCCTTAACTCTAAACTTTAATAGCTGCCTTTTTGTTCCTGCCCACGCACCTTTTCCTCGACGACAAGATGGTAAACTGGTTAGAGCAATTCCTGTAATTTTTTTCTCTGAACTCCCTTCACTCAACTTCTCATCTTTCCCTTCCCCTTTCCCTCCACTATCCCCCCCCCCACCCCCCTCTTCCTCCTTCCTCCTCCCCCCCCAACAGGTACATCACGCACTGCAATCTCAACAGCTTGTGGCAAAGCGACAAGGCCCGCAAGTTCCCCACTTCTCATCCTCTCCTTCCTTGTTCCCTCCACTTCCACACCCCCCCCAACAGGTACATCACGCAGTGCAACTGCTGCGAGCTCAGCAGCATGTGGCAGACCGACAAGGCGCGGAAATCCCTTCAAACCCCTCTCAAATCTCCGCTTCCCACCCTCCCCCTCCCCCTCCTCCCCTCCCCCCCCAACAGGTACATCACGCGATGCAACTGCCGCGAGCTCAACTCCATGTGGCAGACGGACAAAGCCAGAAAGTCTCTGCGCTCGCGCAAGCACCTGGCAGCCCTCTCAGTGGACAATCTCGTGCATCCCTCCGACACCTCCTTTCCCCTTCCCCTCCTTCTCCTCCCTCTCCCCCATCTTGCAACAGGTACATCACCCACTGCAACTGTCGCGAGCTCAACTCCATGTGGCAGACCGACAAGGCGCGCAAGTCTCTGCGCTCACGCAAGCACCTGGCGGCACTCTCAGTGGACGATCTCGTGCATCCCTCCGACATCGCCCGCTGGTTCCGCCCGCACGTGCTCTCCGCCTTCCTCTTCCACTACTCCTCTGGTCCGCCTCCCCACCATTCACTTTCCGTTTTCCCCAACCTTCCCCCCTCCCTCTCCCCTTCCCCCTCCCCTCCCCCCCCCCTCCGCCCCGCCCCAACAGGTACATAACGCGCTGCAATTGCAGGGAACTGAACAGCATGTGGCAGACAGACAAGGCCCGCAAGTCCTTACGTTCGCGCAAGCACCTGGCGGCACTCTCAGTGGACGACCTCGTGCATCCCTCTGACATGGCCCGCTGGTTCCGCCCGCACGTGCTCTCCGCCTTCCTCTTCCACTACTCCTCCGCCTCCCCCGCTTACCACGCCGCCCGCCGCAAAACCCTCTCAGACGAAACAGGCTTGGAAACCGGCACTGCTGGTGCTGGTGGTGGTGGCGGGCAGTTTCAGCACGTGGGTACGGCGGAGATGCGGCGGCGGCGGCGGCTGCTGCTGCGGCTGCGGGACCGGTTTGAGCGGATCCGGCTGGCGGGACCCGGGGATGCGCAGTGGATGAAGCACTTAAGTAAGAGTCAGATGTACGGGGTGCTGTCTCAGGCGCTGCTGGGAGCGGCGGTGGGGGAGGTGACTGTTGCGAGAATGCCTGTGAGTAGTGGGAGTGAAGGGCTGCTGGAAGGGGGTGCTGCTGCTGCTGGTGCCACCGCTGGTGCTGCCGCTGCTGGTGCTGGTGCTGCCGATGCTGCCGATGGCGGCGTTGGCAGCGCTGGTAATGCTGCTGCTGGTGGTATTGCTGGTGGGTGCTACCATAATAGCCCTTGGGGGGGACCTACTGCTGCTGCTGCAGGGCATGCTTTCAGTGGCAGGCTGGTAGGGGATAGCAGCCGGCTCACTGGCACTTCCACTCCCACTAATAGGCTAAGCTCCTCCGAAGCTGGCTCCAGGAGGCTCGGCACCCCCGAGGCTGGTTCACGGAGGCTTGGGACTCCCGAGGCTGGTTCACGGAGGCTTGGGACTCCCGAGGCTGGCTCGCGGGGGCTCAGCACTCCCGAAGCTGGCACGAGGGCTGTGTCGAGGAGGCTCGGCACGCCGGAGCTAGGTTCCGCGAGAAGAGTGATGGCTTCGGGCTCAGCAGAAGGGGGAGAGGCACGGTTGGTAGACTTGGGCGCGGCAGCAGAAAGAGCAGCTGCAGCAGCAGGAGGAGGAGCCGGAGAAGCAGGGGGAGTAGGGGGGGCATCACCAATGCCAGCGTTTTTGTCTGCATCAGGGAGGTTGGATGTGACAGGGACGGGTGCAGCTGGGGTGGGTACACCTGGAAGAGGTACACCTTTTGGGGGAGGTACACCTGGGCGCAGCACACCTGGGGGAGGTACACCTGGGGGGGGCACGCCTGGAGGGGGAGGTACACCTGGGCGCGGCGTGGCACGATTTGGGTCTCGCAGCCTATCGAGACGAGAGCGGTGGGTGCAGCCTGAGGTGAGTAGAGGTGGTGAGGCGAATAGAGGTGATTCGCTTAGAGGTGATCCGTTTAAAGGTGATCCTTCTAGAGGTGTAGGGGATGGAACAGGGGGAGTGGAAGGGGCAGGGGGAGGGGGAGGAGGAGCGGGAGAGGGAGGGATGGGGCGTTTGGGAGCGGTTGGGGGGGTGGAAACGGGAGTGGGAGCGGTGGGATGGGATCCAGATGAGGAGGACGAGGAGAGAATGCTGCTGGAGTGGCCGCCCAGGCTGGACCACCACGTTAGCTGGACGGCAACTAATGCCGCAGGCGGCGAGCTCGAGCGGCGGGGTTTGTCTGGTAGTGGAGCGGATGTGCTGGTGAATGGGGAGGGGGAGGAAGAAGACGGGGAGGAACTGGAGAGGAATGGGTGGCGTGGGGAGGAGGACGGGGAGGAGGAGGGGGAAGACGGGGAAGAGGGTGAGGAGGATGAGGAGGAGTGTGAGGGGGATGAGGAGGATGGGGCAGATCTAGAGGAGAGAGCAGAGCAACGGCGGCATCAGCAGAGGGAGCAGGGTGGGCAAGGGGGTTATAGAGGCGGGTACGGGGAGGGGCAGGGAGGCGGGGAGGCGTACAGGGAGGGCAGAGAGGGCGGAGGGGGCGGAGAGAACGGAGGGGAGGGCGGAGAGGGGGGGGAAGGGGGCTATGTGGAGGCTCGGATGAACATGGCGGAGCTCACGCTGCTCTTCCAGCGCCACCTCGCTCTCCTCGTGCGCTCCGAGGCCCTCCGCCGCCCCACCTCGCTGCGCCTGCTGCTGCAGTCGGAGGCAATTCCAGACCTTCTAGCCTGGCTCACCTCCCCCCACTGGTACGTCTGTGGGCGCTTGCTCATGGTTCTGCTGTTGTTGGGGGCACGGCACGGGCACCCTAGGCCGTCTGCCGCCACACCTCCCTGCGCCTCCTGCTGCTGCGGTCGGAAGCCATCCCTGGCCTGACCTGCTCGCCTTTTGAGACGTCTCAAAAGTCTGACCTGACCTGCTCGCCTGGCTCACATCGCCCCACTGGTGGGCTCGAATGCTGTGCTGTGCCTCATGTCCTCCTACCCGACCCCTCTTGTTTGAGATTGATTTTGAGAATTCTCAAAATCAATCTCAAACAGAATGCTCTGTGCCTCATGTCCTGACCCCTCTACCCGACCCCTCTTGTCATGCCACACAATTGAGACAGAGGACCAGCATGTCCCCTCCTTTTCTTACCTTTCCTCCTCCCCCCCTCCCCCCACATGTCACACCAGTGAGGCGGAGGACCAGCAAGTGTAGAGGGATGCGGTGGCAATGGCGCGGTCTGCAGCGGATCTTACCTTTTCCTCCCTCCACCCCTCGTCTCCTCCCCCCCTCCCCCCACATGTCACTCCAGTGAGGCGGAGGACCAGCAGGTGTTGAGGGACGTGGTGGCAATGGCGCGGTCGGCAGCGGTTCTTACCCTCCTGCCTTCTCGCCCCTCTCTGCATTGTGTCCCTCCCCTCTCCTTGTCACTCCAGTGAGGCAGGGGATCAGCAGGTGCTGAGGGACGTGGTGGCAATGATGCGATCGGCTGTGCTCCTTACCTTCCCTCCACCCCTCCACCCTTCCTCCCCTACTTTCCCCTCCCTCTCCCCTCCACAGTGAGGCGGAGGACCAGCAGTTGCTGAGGGACGTGGTGGCAATGATGCGGTCAGCATTGCTCCTTACCTTCCCTCCACCCCTCCACCCTTCCTCCCCTACTTTCCCCTCCCTCTCCCCTCCACAGTGAGGCGGAGGACCAGCAGTTGCTGAGGGACGTGGTGGCAATGATGCGGTCAGCATTGCTCCTTACCTTCCCTCCACCCCTCCACCCTTCCTCCCCTACTTTCCCCTCCCTCTCCCCTCCACAGTGAGGCGGAGGACCAGCAGTTGCTGAGGGACGTGGTGGCAATGATGCGGTCAGCATTGCTCCTTACCTTCCCTCCACCCCTCCACCCTTCCTCCCCTACTTTCCCCTCCCTCTCCCCTCCACAGTGAGGCGGAGGACCAGCAGTTGCTGAGGGACGTGGTGGCAATGATGCGGTCAGCATTGCTCCTTACCTTCCCTCCACCCCTCCACCCTTCCTCCCCTACTTTCCCCTCCCTCTCCCCTCCACAGTGAGGCGGAGGACCAGCAGTTGCTGAGGGACGTGGTGGCAATGATGCGGTCAGCATTGCTCCTTACCTTCCCTCCACCCCTCCACCCTTCCTCCCCTACTTTCCCCTCCCTCTCCCCTCCACAGTGAGGCGGAGGACCAGCAGTTGCTGAGGGACGTGGTGGCAATGATGCGGTCAGCATTGCTCCTTACCTTCCCTCCACCCCTCCACCCTTCCTCCCCTACTTTCCCCTCCCTCTCCCCTCCACAGTGAGGCGGAGGACCAGCAGGTGCTGAGGGACGTGGTGGCAATGATGCGGTCAGCATTGCTCCTTACCTTCCCTCCACCCCTCCACCCTTCCTCCCCTACTTTCCCCTCCCTCTCCCCTCCACAGTGAGGCGGAGGACCAGCAGGTGCTGAGGGACGTGGTGGCAATGATGCGGTCAGCAGTGGTGGCGGAGGCTGGCAGTGGAAGGTGACGTGTGCCTCGATCCCCACTCTCTTTCTCCTCCCCTCCTCCTTTCCCCCCATCCACAGTGAGGCAGAGGACCAGCAGGTGCTGAGGGATGTGGTGGCGATGATGCAATCAGCAGCGGTGGCGGAGGCAGGCAGAAGATGATAAATCATCCCTCCTCTCCTTCTTCGCCTCCCTCCCCTCTTCTTGTAACGCCAGTGAGGCGGAGGACCAGCAGGTGCTGAGGGACGTGGTGGCAATGATGCGGTCAGCAGCGGTGGCGGAGGCAGGCGGTGGGTGATGGGACATGCCTTTATCCCCTCCTCTCCTTCTCCTCCCTCCCTCTATCTCTTCCCTCTTTTTTTTTACTCCAGTGAGGCGGAGGACCAGCAGGTGCTGAGGGACGTGGTGGCAATGATGCGGTCAGCAGCGGTGGAGGAGGCAGGCAGCCGATCTTGAGACGTGCCTTATGTCCCCTCCTGTCTCTCATCTCCCTTCCCTTTGCTCTGATCACTGCAGTGAGGCAGAGGACCAGCAGGTGTTGAGGGACGTGGTGGCAATGATGCGATCAGCAGCGGTGGAGGAGGCAGGCAGCCGATCTTGAGACGTGCCTTATGTCCCCTCCTGTCTCTCATCTCCCTTCCCTTTGCTCTGATCACTGCAGTGAGGCAGAGGACCAGCAGGTGTTGAGGGACGTGGTGGCAATGATGCGGTCGGCAGCCGTGGAGGAGGCGGGCAGAGGATGGGACAAGGTTTCAACACCTCTCCTGCCCCTCTCCCGCCCCCCTCTATTTTTGTTATTGCAGTGAAGCAGAGGATCAGCAGGTGTTGAGGGACGTGGTGGCAATGATGCGATCGGCAGCGGTGGAGGAGGCAGGCAGCCTGCATTGGTCGAAAGGCTTCTGGGCCTTCTTCCGCACCCACTCCGTGCTGCACCGCGCCAAGACATGGTGAGTGAATCACTAGGAGCCCATGGCATGGTGAGGTGTTGCAGTGCTGTGAGAAGCAGGCAGCCTGCACCGGTCGAAAGGCTTCTGGGCCTTCTTCCGCACCCACTCTGTGCTGCACCGCGCCAAGACATGGTGAGTTGGGGCACGGTGAATTAAGGCATGGTTAGCCTGGGCAATCACAGGCGAGCCCAGGCAATCACAGGCGAGTCCAGGCAATCACGGGCATGGTGACCCCAGGGCATGGTGCGGTGTGCACGTGTGTTGGCTGGCTCTAAGCGGCAAGTGTGCACGTGTGTGAGCCCTGCCCGCCTGCACTGGCCGCACTGATTCTTCCACACTCACTTTGCGCTGCACCGCGCCAAGACATGGTGCGTGAATTGACATTTGAGTCGACTCATATGTCACCTCGCTGCACCGCGCTAAGACATGGTATGTGAATCACGGTAGGAGCCCATGGCATGGTGAGGTGTAGTTTTGAGGCGCCTCAAAACTAGAGCCCATGGCATGGTGAGGTGTGTAAGTGCTGTGAGAGGCAGGCAGCCTGCAATGGTGTCAGGGCTTCTGGGCCTTCTTCCGCACCCACTCCGTGCTGCACCGCGCCAAGGCCTGGTGAGTTGGGGCATGGTGAGGCAATATCTGAGAATCCAGGTCGTTGAGGTGTGCGAGTGTGTTGGCTTGTCGAGGCAGGCAGCTTGCACTGGTCCCCCGGCTTCTGGGCATTAGTTTGCAGTCACTCCGTGCTGCACCGCGCCAAGGCCTGGTGAGTCAAGTGTTGGTGAGGTGAGTGTAGGGCATGGAGGGATGGACTGCCCTTAAAATGTCTGCTCTGCCTTTTCTTTTTCTTTCTATTATTGTGTCTCTCGACTCGTGCAGTGTGCAGCCTTGTCTGCCGTCAAAGCCGCTGCTGGAAGATGACATGTAATGCAACTGCTGGAGGATGACATGTAATGTAACTGAACCGGGATGACATGTAATGGCTGCTGGAAGGGGACGTGTAAGTAACTGAGCTGGGATGACATTTTATTTTCATTGGTGTGAGGTCATTAACTGATTTCCTAAGTTGGGAGATGAGATGTAATATAAGGTAACTGATCTGGGATGACATTTGAGGATTGCTGGGAATGTCACATGTGCTGTAATAATTCAGTTTCATTATGTATCATATTTGACACTTGGGAGGGTGCTGCCAAGGCTGATGCTTGGAGTGAATGGATGGATTTCAAATTAGAGTCTTGGCAGGTTCACGGAATTGGTATCGAAGCTGCTGGAATTGGAGGTTTCATGAGGATGGGTGTGTGAGGGCTTAGAGCACATCCATAGTTACCTCAAGCAGCATGAACACAAAAGTAGGCATCACATCACTGCATAATTTTTTCGAAGGGAAAGTATATGTATCGATAAACACCTTTGCCTGGTATACATTTGAAAGTAGGGGTTCAAAATCCTTAGGAACTTGAAAAGTTGCCCCAAAACTGTGAGGCACAATAAAAACCCTGAACCTCACTGACAAATGTAAATTGGAGCTACAAAAGCTGGGAGCGAAAGAATAAAACGTGTTCAGCAGGACTCGAACCTGCGCGGGCAGAGCCCAACAGATTTCTAGTCTGTCCCGTTAACCACTCCGGCATGAACACATGTACGTCTATTCTTCTGATATTAATCTAGCCTATAATTTAAACACGCCTTCTCATTGAACGCGCTTCGTCCTTGCATGGCGGCTCAAACGTCCTTAGCGGATCTTACGGCAGACTGCTTCGCGCACTGCTGCCGATGGCTCTCTCCCCGCGACCTCGTGAATCTCTCCTTTTGCTGCTCGTCGCTTCGCCAACTTGCCAATAGCGATGCACCGTGGGCATGCTACGTGGCACATCAGGAAGAGCTACCCCGTCAGGTTCGCATATAACTCGTGTACTCAGCACGTCAGTTCTCTCATAGTTTCTGGGAAAAAAAATGTTTCGGAGGTGAGTTTTTGAGGCGAAGTCCCTTCACGTTCTCCTCCTTCTTTCCCTTCCCCTCCCACTCCCCTTCACCTTCCCCCTCCCTTTCTCTCCCCTCTCCCCTTCTCCCTTTCCTTTCCCGCACTACATGCCCCATGTTTCCGTGCTTCAGGCTGCGCTCCTCTCGGGATTCCGTCAGGCCTTCATAGAGCGCCACGTGGCAGCACAGAAGCTGCAGATCGCCGACCCTGCCACGTGCGCATGGCCCCTGTCTGGGGACGCAAGGGGGGACGCAGCCGCAGCAGGAGGCGGAGGAGAGGGGGACGGGGGAGGGGAAGGCGCGGCAGCAGCAGCATGGGGATGGGGTGGGCCAGGGGGAAGGGGAGGGGGAGTTAGGGGGGGAAGAGGTGTGGGGCAGGGCGGCGGGGGGGAAGGGGAAGCGCAGAAGCCTGTGAGCGCAGTGGTGGCGCTACAGGGGGGCGGAGGCCTTTCCGCCATCCCTGCTTTATCCTCAGTTTCAGTCCCAGGCGCTGGGGAGGGTGATGAGTGGGATGAGGAGGGAGGGGAGGAAGGGGAGGGGAGGGGGAAGGAGGGGAGGGAAGGCTGGCATCATGTGGTGGCAGTGCAGGTACGCTCCTTGGCTCTGTTTTTGTCTCTTTGGCTCTGTTTTGTTTTTGTTATTGTTTTTTTTTCCAGTTCCCCTTGTACCTCTTCCTAGTCGTGTTTATCCATTCATAGCTCGGGTTTTGTTTTCTCGTTGTTATGTTTTGTTCTCTTTTTTTCTTTTTCTTTTCTTTTCTTTTCTTTCTTTTTCGGTCTTGGTTCTCTCCGTCACCTTTTCGTGTTCGTTCAAGCGTCGCTCACTCACACTCCCCCCCCCTTCCCCCCACCCTTGCAACAAGGCGCATCACAGCAGCAATAATCCACTCCGACCACCTGCCTTGCCTTACGATTCGAAGCCAACCCAACCCAACCCAGCGTCAACGGTATTAAATCTACCCAACCCAACCACCTCCCTTGCTAGCAGGGCTCCAACGTCATCCTGTGGCGGGCAGCAGCGCCAGCAGGAGGGGTGCAGCTGTCAGCAGTGTTCACAGCACACAAGGGGCGCATCACAGCGCTGCTGCTCCCAGGGGACCTCTCGCCCTTCCCTCCTCCCCACTCCCATGACCCCTGCACCCACCTCCCTTGCATACAGGGCTCTAACATTCTCCTGTGGGGAGCAGCACCAGCAGGACGGGTGCAGATGTCAGCAGTGCTCACGGCACACAAGGGCCGCATCACAGCGCTGCTCCCAGTGGACCTCTCGCCCTTCCCTGCCGCTGCCCGCCTCGCCCCGCCCCTCCCCGCCCACACCTTCCTGCTCTCCACCAGTCTGGACCGCACTCTGCGCCTCTGGGGCAAGGTGAGAGGTGAGGGCAAGTGAGATGGTTTCATCCTGCTGCTTGTCTTGCCCCGCCCGTAGCCCCTAGCCCCTCATCCCGCCCGTAGCCCCTAGCCCCTCATCCCGCCCGTAGCCCCTAGCCCCTCATCCCGCCCGTAGCCCCTAGCCCCTCATCCCGCCCGTAGCCCCTAGCCCCTCATCCCGCCCGTAGCCCCTAGCCCCTCATCCCGCCCGTAGCCCCTAGCCCCTCATCCCGCCCGTAGCCCCTAGCCCCTCATCCCGCCCCGCCCCTCCCCGCCCACACCTTCCTGCTCTCCGCCAGCCTGGATCGCACTCTACGCCTCTGGGGCAAGGTGAGACCGGCAGCTCGTTTTTGCATTCCATCCTCACCCCTCGCCCCGTGCCCCTCACCCCCCACCTTCCCCTCCCTGCCCACACTTTCCTCCTCTCTGCCAGTCTGGACCGCACTCTACGCCTCTGGGGCAAGGTGAGAGATACTTGCAAGGTGAGAGATACTTGCAAGGTGAGAGATACTTGCAAGGTGAGAGATACTTGCAAGGTGAGAGATACTTGCAAGGTGAGAGATACTTGCAAGGTGAGAGATACTTGCAAGGTGAGAGATACTTGCAAGGTGAGAGATACTTGCAAGGTGAGAGATACTTGCAAGGTGAGAGATACTTGCAAGGTGAGAGATACTTGCAAGGTGAGAGATACTTGCAAGGTGAGAGATACTTGCAAGGTGAGAGATACTTGCAAGGTGAGAGATACTTGCAAGGTGAGAGATACTTGCAAGGTGAGAGATACTTGCAAGGTGAGAGATACTTGCAAGGTGAGAGATACGTGCAAGGTGAGAGATACTTGCAAGGTGAGAGATACTTGCAAGGTGAGAGGGTGAAAAAGGTAGTGGGGGCACACAAGTCGGGGCCTTCGTCCTTCTTTTACCTTGTCCCTTCTCTCCTATCTTATTGCTCCTCTCTACCCTTCCTCTCTGCTCTGAGACACATTCTCAGCACCTCACGCCCTTGCTTCCTCCCGTGATATACCACCCTCTCTGCCCTCTGCTGCCCTCTCCACCTTTCGCCACCTCCTTCCCTTTCTCCCCTTTGCTGCCCCACCCAGACCACCTGTCTGCGCTCCTTCTCAGGGCACACAGGCCCCATCCTCTGCCTCTCAGACCGCATCATCGGCACCTCACACCCTTGCACGGGGAGCAACAGTGATGCTTCGAGCGCAGCTATCCCTTCCTCTACTTCCTCGTCCTCCTTCCTTCCGTGCGTCGCGACTGGAGGCAGCGACAGCACCGTTCGTGTCTGGTCCCTCCTCCATCAGGTATGTGGTCCCTCCTCCCATCAGGTATGTGGTCCCTCCTCCCATCAGGTATGTGGTCCCTCCTCCCATCAGGTATGTGGTCCCTCCTCCATCAGGTATGTGGTCCCTCCTCCCATCAGGTATGTGGTCCCTCCTCCCATCATGGTATGTGGTCCCTGCCCGTCTCCCATCAGGTATGTGGTTCCCTCCTCCCATCAGGTATGTGGTCCCTCCTCCCATCAGGTATGTGGTCCCTCCTCCCATCAGGTATGTGGTCCCTCCTCCCATCAGGTATGGTGGTCCCTCCTCCCATCAGGTATGTGGTCCCTCCTCCCATCAGGTATGTGGTCCCTCCTCCATCAGGTATGTGTGTCCCTCCTCCCATCAGGTATGTGGTCCCTCCTCCCATCAGGTATGTGGTCCCTCCTCCCATCAGGTATGTGGTCCCTCCTCCCATCAGGTATGTGGTCCACTCCTCCCATCAGGTATGTGGTCCCTCCTCCCATCAGGTATGTGGTCCCTCCTCCCATCAGGTTCCATGTGGTGTGGTCCCTCCTCCCATCAGGTATGTGGTCCCTCCTCCCATCAGGTATGTGGTCCCTCCTCCCATCAGGTATGTGGTCCCTCCTCCCATCAGGTATGTGGTCCCTCCTCCCATCAGGTATGTGGTCCCTCCTCCCATCAGGTATGTGGTCCCTCCTCCCATCAGGTATGTGGTCCCTCCTCCCATCAGGTATGTGGTCCCTCCTCCCATCAGGTATGTGGTCCCTCCTCCCATCAGGTATGTGGTCCCTCCTCCCATCAGGTATGTGGTCCCTCCTCCCATCAGGTATGTGGTCCCTCCTCCCATCAGGTATGTGGTCCCTCCTCCCATCAGGTATGTGGTCCCTCCTCCCATCAGGTATGTGGTCCCTCCTCCCATCAGGTATGTGGTCCCTCCTCCCATCAGGTATGTGGTCCCTCCTCCCATCAGGTATGTGGTCCCTCCTCCCATCAGGTATGTGGTCCCTCCTCCCATCAGGTATGTGGTCCCTCCTCCCATCAGGTATGTGGTCCCTCCTCCCATCAGGTATGTGGTCCCTCCTCCCATCAGGTATGTGGTCCCTCCTCCCATCAGGTATGTGGTCCCTCCTCCCATCAGGTATGTGGTCCCTCCTCCCATCAGGTATGTGGTCCCTCCTCCCATCAGGTATGTGGTCCCTCCTCCCATCAGGTATGTGGTCCCTCCTCCCATCAGGTATGTGGTCCCTCCTCCCATCAGGTATGTGGTCCCTCCTCCCATCAGGTATGTGGTCCCTCCTCCCATCAGGTATGTGGTCCCTCCTCCCATCAGGTATGTGGTCCCTCCTCCCATCAGGTATGTGGTCCCTCCTCCCATCAGGTATGTGGTCCCTCCTCCCATCAGGTATGTGGTCCCTCCTCCCATCAGGTATGTGGTCCCTCCTCCCATCAGGTATGTGGTCCCTCCTCCCATCAGGTATGTGGTCCCTCCTCCCATCAGGTATGTGGTCCCTCCTCCCATCAGGTATGTGGTCCCTCCTCCCATCAGGTATGTGGTCCCTCCTCCCATCAGGTATGTGGTCCCTCCTCCCATCAGGTATGTGGTCCCTCCTCCCATCAGGTATGTGGTCCCTCCTCCCATCAGGTATGTGGTCCCTCCTCCCATCAGGTATGTGGTCCCTCCTCCCATCAGGTATGTGGTCCCTCCTCCCATCAGGTATGTGGTCCCTCCTCCCATCAGGTATGTGGTCCCTCCTCCCATCAGGTATGTGGTCCCTCCTCCCATCAGGTATGTGGTCCCTCCTCCCATCAGGTATGTGGTCCCTCCTCCCATCAGGTATGTGGTCCCTCCTCCCATCAGGTATGTGGTCCCTCCATCAGGTATGTGGTCCCTCCTCCCATCAGGTATGTGGTCCCTCCTCCCATCAGGTATGTGGTCCCTCCTCCCATCAGGTATGTGGTCCCTCCTCCCATCAGGTATGTGGTCCCTCCTCCCATCAGGTATGTGGTCCCTCCTCCCATCAGGTATGTGGTCCCTCCTCCCATCAGGTATGTGGTCCCTCCTCCCATCAGGTATGTGGTCCCTCCTCCCATCAGGTATGTGGTCCCTCCTCCCATCAGGTATGTGGTCCCTCCTCCCATCAGGTATGTGGTCCCTCCTCCCATCAGGTATGTGGTCCCTCCTCCCATCAGGTATGTGGTCCCTCCTCCCATCAGGTATGTGGTCCCTCCTCCCATCAGGTATGTGGTCCCTCCTCCCATCAGGTATGTGGTCCCTCCTCCCATCAGGTATGTGGTCCCTCCTCCCATCAGGTATGTGGTCCCTCCTCCCATCAGGTATGTGGTCCCTCCTCCCATCAGGTATGTGGTCCCTCCTCCCATCAGGTATGTGGTCCCTCCTCCCATCAGGTATGTGGTCCCTCCTCCCATCAGGTATGTGGTCCCTCCTCCCATCAGGTATGTGGTCCCTCCTCCCATCAGGTATGTGGTCCCTCCTCCCATCAGGTATGTGGTCCCTCCTCCCATCAGGTATGTGGTCCCTCCTCCCATCAGGTATGTGGTCCCTCCTCCCATCAGGTATGTGGTCCCTCCTCCCATCAGGTATGTGGTCCCTCCTCCCATCAGGTATGTGGTCCCTCCTCCCATCAGGTATGTGGTCCCTCCTCCCATCAGGTATGTGGTCCCTCCTCCCATCAGGTATGTGGTCCCTCCTCCCATCAGGTATGTGGTCCCTCCTCCCATCAGGTATGTGGTCCCTCCTCCCATCAGGTATGTGGTCCCTCCTCCCATCAGGTATGTGGTCCCTCCTCCCATCAGGTATGTGGTCCCTCCTCCCATCAGGTATGTGGTCCCTCCTCCCATCAGGTATGTGGTCCCTCCTCCCATCAGGTATGTGGTCCCTCCTCCCATCAGGTATGTGGTCCCTCCTCCCATCAGGTATGTGGTCCCTCCTCCCATCAGGTATGTGGTCCCTCCTCCCATCAGGTATGTGGTCCCTCCTCCCATCAGGTATGTGGTCCCTCCTCCCATCAGGTATGTGGTCCCTCCTCCCATCAGGTATGTGGTCCCTCCTCCCATCAGGTATGTGGTCCCTCCTCCCATCAGGTATGTGGTCCCTCCTCCCATCAGGTATGTGGTCCCTCCTCCCATCAGGTATGTGGTCCCTCCTCCCATCAGGTATGTGGTCCCTCCTCCCATCAGGTATGTGGTCCCTCCTCCCATCAGGTATGTGGTCCCTCCTCCCATCAGGTATGTGGTCCCTCCTCCCATCAGGTATGTGGTCCCTCCTCCCATCAGGTATGTGGTCCCTCCTCCCATCAGGTATGTGGTCCCTCCTCCCATCAGGTATGTGGTCCCTCCTCCCATCAGGTATGTGGTCCCTCCTCCCATCAGGTATGTGGTCCCTCCTCCCATCAGGTATGTGGTCCCTCCTCCCATCAGGTATGTGGTCCCTCCTCCCATCAGGTATGTGGTCCCTCCTCCCATCAGGTATGTGGTCCCTCCTCCCATCAGGTATGTGGTCCCTCCTCCCATCAGGTATGTGGTCCCTCCTCCCATCAGGTATGTGGTCCCTCCTCCCATCAGGTATGTGGTCCCTCCTCCCATCAGGTATGTGGTCCCTCCTCCCATCAGGTATGTGGTCCCTCCTCCCATCAGGTATGTGGTCCCTCCTCCCATCAGGTATGTGGTCCCTCCTCCCATCAGGTATGTGGTCCCTCCTCCCATCAGGTATGTGGTCCCTCCTCCCATCAGGTATGTGGTCCCTCCTCCCATCAGGTATGTGGTCCCTCCTCCCATCAGGTATGTGGTCCCTCCTCCCATCAGGTATGTGGTCCCTCCTCCCATCAGGTATGTGGTCCCTCCTCCCATCAGGTATGTGGTCCCTCCTCCCATCAGGTATGTGGTCCCTCCTCCCATCAGGTATGTGGTCCCTCCTCCCATCAGGTATGTGGTCCCTCCTCCCATCAGGTATGTGGTCCCTCCTCCCATCAGGTATGTGGTCCCTCCTCCCATCAGGTATGTGGTCCCTCCTCCCATCAGGTATGTGGTCCCTCCTCCCATCAGGTATGTGGTCCCTCCTCCCATCAGGTATGTGGTCCCTCCTCCCATCAGGTATGTGGTCCCTCCTCCCATCAGGTATGTGGTCCCTCCTCCCATCAGGTATGTGGTCCCTCCTCCCATCAGGTATGTGGTCCCTCCTCCCATCAGGTATGTGGTCCCTCCTCCATTTCAGCCCATCAGGTATGTGGTCCCTCCTCCCATCAGGTATGTGGTCCCTCCTCCCATCAGGTATGTGGTCCCTCCTCCCATCAGGTATGTGGTCCCTCCTCCCATCAGGTATGTGGTCCCTCCTCCCATCAGGTATGTGGTCCCTCCTCCCATCAGGTATGTGGTCCCTCCTCCCATCAGGTATGTGGTCCCTCCTCCCATCAGGTATGTGGTCCCTCCTCCCATCAGGTATGTGGTCCCTCCTCCCATCAGGTATGTGGTCCCTCCTCCCATCAGGTATGTGGTCCCTCCTCCCATCAGGTATGTGGTCCCTCCTCCCATCAGGTATGTGGTCCCTCCTCCCATCAGGTATGTGGTCCCTCCTCCCATCAGGTATGTGGTCCCTCCTCCCATCAGGTATGTGGTCCCTCCTCCCATCAGGTATGTGGTCCCTCCTCCCATCAGGTATGTGGTCCCTCCTCCCATCAGGTATGTGGTCCCTCCTCCCATCAGGTATGTGGTCCCTCCTCCCATCAGGTATGTGGTCCCTCCTCCCATCAGGTATGTGGTCCCTCCTCCCATCAGGTATGTGGTCCCTCCTCCCATCAGGTATGTGGTCCCTCCTCCCATCAGGTATGTGGTCCCTCCTCCCATCAGGTATGTGGTCCCTCCTCCCATCAGGTATGTGGTCCCTCCTCCCATCAGGTATGTGGTCCCTCCTCCCATCAGGTATGTGGTCCCTCCTCCCATCAGGTATGTGGTCCCTCCTCCCATCAGGTATGTGGTCCCTCCTCCCATCAGGTATGTGGTCCCTCCTCCCATCAGGTATGTGGTCCCTCCTCCCATCAGGTATGTGGTCCCTCCTCCCATCAGGTATGTGGTCCCTCCTCCCATCAGGTATGTGGTCCCTCCTCCCATCAGGTATGTGGTCCCTCCTCCCATCAGGTATGTGGTCCCTCCTCCCATCAGGTATGTGGTCCCTCCTCCCATCAGGTATGTGGTCCCTCCTCCCATCAGGTATGTGGTCCCTCCTCCCATCAGGTATGTGGTCCCTCCTCCCATCAGGTATGTGGTCCCTCCTCCCATCAGGTATGTGGTCCCTCCTCCCATCAGGTATGTGGTCCCTCCTCCCATCAGGTATGTGGTCCCTCCTCCCATCAGGTATGTGGTCCCTCCTCCCATCAGGTATGTGGTCCCTCCTCCCATCAGGTATGTGGTCCCTCCTCCCATCAGGTATGTGGTCCCTCCTCCCATCAGGTATGTGGTCCCTCTTCCCATCAGGTATGTGGTCCCTCCTCCCATCAAAATCAGCAGCGGCAGAGCACTCAAAAGTGAGTTCGTGTCTGGTCCCTCCGCCCATCAGGTATGTTACTCCAACATGACCTCACCTCTCCTCAAACCGTCCTTGTATCATCAATGCCTCTCCTCTCTTCTGTTGTTCTTGTCTATGTTTCCGTTTGGGTGGTATCCAGTCATCCTTTTGAGTCGACTCAAAAGTCACTCCGTTTTGGGTGGTATCCAGTCATCCTCTTCTTCACACCATTACCTCACTCTCAGTCTTCCTCACTACACCCTCCTCCCAAACCCTCCTACTAAACCCTCCAACCAACCATTCTCACTATTCCTTCCCTGCTTCCCTTATTCCAATCCCCCCCCCTCTTTCCCACCTGCCAGGGAAGGGGCGGTCAGCATGTGTTGCCACACTCAAGGGCCATGAGGGGCCGATATCGGCTCTGGCTGTTGCCACGTGGGTGATTTGTTTCTTCCTTGGCTTGACTTCCGTCCTCGTGTGATTGAACTCTTGAGAATTCTCAAAAGCTGCATGCTTGTACCGTACACCAGCATCGTCCTGTCGATGCAATAACTGCCCTGCCTGTTGCTGCATGGGTGATTTCGTTCCTGGCCTCGTACTGCCACATATTGCCAGTTCTGTTCTCCTTACATGCAAGACCACCAGCATGGGTTACATGCTTTCACCATGCATATCAGCATCGTCCTCCTGTCCATGCAATAACTGCCCTGGCTGCTGCTTCGTGCGTTTCTTTCTCCCTCCCTCAACGTGTTGTTACTTGCACAAGCTTGCACGGCACCAGCGTTCTTTCCCTTTTCATTTGTCCTTCTCTCGACTCCCTCGTGCCATCATACTCCCTCCCTCCTTCACTCGCCTTCCTGCCATCCTCATTGTCCCTCTCCCTCTCCCCCTTCCCTTTCCCCTCGCCCTTTCCCTCACTCAATTGTTGGTAGGGCACCGGACTTGTTCCCCTGTTGAGTGTAGGCCGGCTACAGTAGCGTTCTAGAGGGTTATGGGTGTGCTAGACCAGACAAACATGCCCTTTTGAGTTGAAACCCAGGCGGTAACAGGCTGAGTCGTCGTCATCATCCGTGTCACTTTAACTTACCCTACTCATGCCCCTCTCCTCTCAACATCACCCCTCGCCCCCCGCCCTCCCTCATCGCAGTCACAACCCCTTCCTTCTGGCCAGTGTTGCTCGTGACGCCAAGGTGAGGATTGCTCGGGAGTTGTTTTTCCCAGGCACCTTTATCCATGATACCGTATTTGTGGTTCAAAATTCTCGCACTGATTCATAAGCAGGTGATTCACATCCACACCACCACCCTTCAGTCGATTAATTAATCTGCCTGCACGCACCCTCTCTTCCTTGATGTTTTGTCCACCCTCTTTCTCACTCGCTTTCATAAGCCGGACTTGATTGTCTTAATCAATTTCTTTTGTTTCATCTGCTGCTTGTTTTGTTGTCCCATCATCCCAAGCAGCTGCGACTGTGGGATTGCCGCCACGTGATTCCATCCTCCATCACCATGGTTGCCGCGGCGCACAAGGCGACTACTTCTCTCTCCCCAACCTCCTCCTCCTCCTCCTCGTCGTCGTCTTCCTCGCCTTGCATCGGCACGTGTCGCACGCCCACAGCCCCCTTTGCTCTCCTCCCCCTCCCGCCTCACCCCACCCATGCGCTGTGCCTTGTGGTGGGCCGAGGCGGCATAGCGGCTCTGGACTTGCTTTCAATGAAACAGGTATGGCATGGGAGGTGCAGCACAGGCACGTGTCGCACGCCCACAGCCTGTTCTGTGCCTTGTGGTGGGCCGAGGCGGCATAGCGGCCCTGGGCCTGCTTTCAATGAAACAGGAAAGGCACTTGTAACTTCCTTACCACTGAATCAGGCATGGTCCTGGCAGCGTGCACAGCCCTTGGAGCATGTTTTTGTGAGAATTCTACAAAGATCAGGCATGGTCCTGGCAATGTGCACAGTACTTCGCATATGTGCTGTCTGTCTGAGTCGTGTACAACGACTGCATTAAGGATCTGAACATTAGCGTACACCTGTCTTGTTGCCAACGCTTCCTTTGCCCGCCCCTCACCCACTTCTCTTTTCCGCTCTCCCCACGCCCACACTCTCTTCGCCCACACTCAGGTTCTCGCCCTCCCATGTGGGTCCGCCCCTCTCTCCTCCTTCGCCTCCTCTCCATCGCGCTGCATCTTTGCAGCAGGCTCTGAGGATGGGTGTGTCAGGCTGTGGCGCATGGGGCAGGTGCGGGAGGAAGGGGCAGCGGAAAGAATAAACACTGCAGGAGCAGCTGGGGCGGGAGGGCAGCTCTCAGCAGGCATGCGAGAATCTAAAGTGCTCTCAAACTGCTGCCAGGCAGGCGTGGCTGAGTTCACGCTGCTCGCCTGCTCAAAGGCGCACATCAGTACAGTGGATTTACTGTACGTGGACGGTTATAAATGCATCAGTGGGAGCCGAGGGGACGGAGTGTTGTGTGTGTGGGATGTGGAGACTGGGGAGGAGATTCGCACGTTGGACGCTACTGTTCTCCCCCCCTGGCTGGTGGAAACCGATGATGCTAGTAACGAGGGTCATGGTGATGGTGGTGGTGGTGAAGCTGCTGCTGGTGGTAACCTTACAAATGCTGGTAACAGCAGCGATTCAACAGCGGATGTTGACCTTATAGGGGAAGGTGGTGCTACAGCTGATGTTGCGACTGCTGGCGAAAGTAGGGGCAATGCTCCTGAGACCGTGAGGCGAGTTCTAGTGGAGAGTATGCATGCATGTGGGGGTGTGGTAGTTGCTGCCTTGGTGAGCTATCGCAGGAGGGCTGTGCTTGGGAGGAGGATGCAACAACATGTGGTGGAGGAGGTTGAAGGCAGATGGATGCGTTTGTGGGATTTCACTTGTGGGAAAGCTTCATTGTTAGATGATGGTAATTTTTTAAGGGAAGAGGATGAGTCTATGATAGTGGGTGGAGGAAAATTCTGGTAGTACTGGTGTTAGAGCCTGGTGTATATGCCTTTTTGGTGATAATTAACTTGGGATGTCGGATACTGATATGTAACTTGGGTTGTCTGCAGGTACCTATGTGCTTCGTGGTTATAGCGGAATACTACAATTCGCGCCGCAGGCTGTCCTCGACTTTCGTCAACGCTTCACCACCAAAACCAATGAAAATTTGTCGCAGACTCGGACGAAAATGCTGCAATGCCGTACCCATGCCCTGCGACTGATCGAGACTTGTCATGCTCCTTGCGGGTATGTCTTCAAAGTTTAGGAAATTCAGGCAATCTAGCATTTCCTAAACGATCCTACAAGAAGAGTTCATGCTGGGAATGTAAATGGTCGATGATCCGTCATCCCCTTGCAAACCCATTTTGCCCGCATGCTCTCGAAAGGGCTTCGATGGGGCCAACCAGCCATCAAAGACGTGGGTAGTTTACAGTCTTAGCCTGCAAAATGCAGAATACCATAAAAACAGAAATCAAAAGGTTCAGGGCATTGAGGGCATTTTACACCTCGTACCAACAGCCCTTCTCCTCACCACTAATATTCGTTGCCTTCGTGCGGGGCTGCGGATTGGCCATCATCGGCCAGGTCAAGGACCACAACGAGATGACTCTCGTGGATTTCAATCCAAGGCACACAGTTCCCAATGCTGTGGAGGGAGGGAACCGCATATAACCTTAACCTTGCTCGTCTCGTCCAGTCCAAGCCGGACTCATCATCAGCTGTGCTCGTACTCCTAGCGAAGGAATCAGTGGATGGGGTGAGGGTGAGGGGAAGTTGACATTTCTGCGACGCTGTTGTGACGCTGAACCGAACGCAGACGTTTTGTTCCTAGTGCACTGTCCTGGACTCTGCAGGGCTGCACTCATCCTCACTCTAGGTCTTTCTCTAGCTCCAAGCATCGGTGACGGTGTTATTTGCGAGAATATGCACGACTGACGTTCTTTTCCGCGGCTGTGTTGCTTGCGGTGTGGGTCTCACCCCCCTTGTCCCCCACGTTCTGCCAGCTTATTATCCCTTGCGCTGCGACGCAACATAATCACGCGCCGATGTGGTCACTATCCGGCATTAATTAACCCAACAGGGCAACGTCTGTCATCTCCATGGCCTTCATTTATTTATTAACCGAGTTTTAAGTACTCCCGCGCGAGACCATTCACCATATTACATTGCAACCCTAATGCGGGGGTACCACGCGTCGGCGCCTCCATCTTTGTGTTTAGGGTACCAAGCAGCAACGAATATTTTTGTTTCAAGAATCCACTGAAACTCGCCCGGTGACGGCAACGATCCGCTATCGCACATCTCGCTGCTACAAATAATCCTCACCGCGTCGTCTGATGCCTCGAGGGAGAGTCCAGGCATCGTCGGTGCGTATATTCTGCGCATTGTCCCGCCCCTTACCTTCTCTGAATCCGCTCGTGTTCCGTTCCACCTCGGAACCACAAGTATAAAATGCTTCCGCATTCGTGGTTAGGGTTTTTTTTTCGTGTTGTGTTTTGCCCCTTTTTCAAACATATTTAATTTATATTTGATCTAATTTGGTTGTGTGAGGACCGCAGGTGGCGTCGACGAAGAGGGTGCGGCAACAGCAGCAGAAGCAGCAGCATCAAATCCCGGAACCTCCGTCATTCTACCGCACCGCTCAGGACACCTCAAAAAACGCCCGACCCCAGCTCCCCGCCTCCTCCGTGCCTCCAGCCTACCCTTTCGAACCTCGCGATTCCTCTCCTGATCATCTCGCTTCATCTCCCGAGCCTCCTGGGCCGACGCTTCGTTCACACGGTCCGCACGCCGAGCCTCCTTACAGTCATATTGTCGAGTCACGTTATAGCGAGTCTTCCCACCCAGCACGATCACAGCAGAGTGAAGATCGGCAAACCCAAGGCCGTACTTCGAGGGTTGATAAGGTCAGACATTACAATGATTCAGCACCACAGCGGGATTACATGCCACAATCGAAGCAGAGTATACCAGAGGGAGCGAACGGCACGAGCTGCAGGGGTCATGGAAACAGCAGCGGTGGTAGCAGCAGCGGGTTTCAAACTCCGCCGTCCGATATTAGTCCCGGTTCTGCATCCCCGTTATTAGCTCAGCGTCCATCTCAATCTACGGCTCACCGCATCTCTGAACCGGAATCCGGCCGTCAGAATGGTAACGGCCGCGAATCAGAACGGAACGACGGCCGTCGGGGAATAAACGGTCACCGTCTTCATGACGCTGACCGTCATTACCAGCCCGCTGCTGCGGCTGAACCCGCAGAAATTTCTTTTCGAATGCACTCCCCTTCGCATCCGAACAGAACCGTGTCTCCCCCCGGTCCAGAAACAGCCATTCGCAACCCATTAAGGCCGTCCTCGCTGAGGGCTTCCTCGGAAAACACGTTCCCCGGCCCCATTGCTTCCCCCTCAGGTGGACCGTCCAATTCCGTCCTCACCGATCTCTCCTCCGCCATTGCTCTCTGCAACCGCATCGTCCATCTATCAGGCCCTTACCCTACCTCTACTTCCCCTCACCGGCACTCCGCATCCCTCCCCAGTTCCCCCTCCGCCTCCCCTTTCCACGCGACCGGCCCCCCTCTTCCGCCCATTCGGAACGCCGCCCTCCGTGTATCTGCCGAGCGTGTTTCGAAACGAACCAAGCAGCTCCTGCCGATCCTAATTCAGCTGCAAGGTCCGGCAGCCGCGAACCTCGCTTCCGATCCTCGTGCGATATTTATCATCCAACGGCTGTTAACGGAGCTAGAAACCACTGTAACTGCCCTCGAGGCATGTAACAGATCGAGCAAATCTCCATTCGCAGGCCTGTTCCGCTTCTTTGGCAGGCAACATTTGTCTTTATCCGCCTTCTCTTCCAAACCCCGTACTGGTAGCCATGCCAAACCTCTTGCCGAACCTAACCCGGTTAATTTGGATGACCCACCCCCCCTCTCCCGAGCCTTATCCTCAGGCTCGACCTGCTCCATCCCTTTCACCTCCTCCGCTTCCTCCTCCTCCGCTCTTGCCTCTCAGCTAAAAGCGTGCTTAGCTGAGATTCGCCAGTGTCACACGGAGTGCCTACTCCTGCTCGGACAGGGTTCCACGGTTTATAGGCGCACTCAGAGCGTTGGTGGGAGGAGCTCAGTGGGAGGGGAGGAAGACGGCGGAGGAGTCAGAGCAGGGGGAGGCGGATATGGAGTGGGAGGAATGGGAGGGGGAGCACGAGGAGGGGGAGATGTTGAAGGAGGACAAGGAGAAACAGGTGAAGGGTATGGGTATCAGCAGCAGCAGGAGCAAGAGCAGCAGCAGCAGCAGCGCGATCGGAGGAGCTTAGAGGACGTGGCGCTCCCCTCAAGTTCCATGGTTGATAGGTCGTTATTTATGGCAGGCGGCCGAAACAGCGCTGAGGCTGCTGGGGGGGGTAGAGGCGTGCAGAGCGGTAACAGGGCTGCTAGCACCTCTGCTGCCTCTGCCCACACTCCCACATCCCCTAATGCCGTCCCCGCCGCCGTCGCAGCTACTGCTGATGCTGCTGCAGCTGCGGCTGGCGCTAGTGACGATGGGGGCAGGGGCCGCGCAGCCGCTACAGCCTCAACACCTGCTGCGGCCACTGCTCTCTCAGCTCCCAGTAAGCAAACTCCCAATAGGCAAGGTTCCAGAAACAACCGCACTCACAGCGGAACCAGAACCTCCAATTCAGCCCTAGCAACCGCCCTCCCAGGGACGCTCCCCCCTCGCTCCCCGCCTACCCCTCTCACCACCTCCCACCCACCGACCCCCCCACACCAGCCCACCCGCCTTCCCCTCTCAGGCGCCTCTTCCCCTCGTAGTTCTACCGCCACTGGAACTTCTGTCTTTTCTGCCGGCCCAGCTGCCGCCCGCCAGCTGGTCGTCTCGCTCTCCCGGGGATCTGCGCTGGAAAAGCGGACGGCGCTGAGGGCGCTTCTGGAGTTATCTGAGTCGTCGGATGCGGGGAAGCTGCACGTGACTGCAGCAGGGGTGGTTCCTGTGATTGCTGTGCTGCTCAGTCATCCAGACCTGGGAGCCAGCTTCGGCAGCAGCAGCTTCGGAAGCAGCGGGGGGGCAGCGGGGATAGGTGGTGCAGGTGGCCCGGTTATCGCAACCAGGACTGGGAGTGGTACCAGGAGTGCTAGAACGTCGAGCATAGGGGAAGAGCTTAAGATAGTCTCTTTGCAACTGCTCCTATCGCTCGTATCTCTTGATGAGAACCGAGCCGTGGTGGCGAAGGCTGGCTGCGTCGCGATCCTAGTCAGCATCCTCCGAACCGGATCGCCGGACCTGCGCGCCGTGGCTGCGCGGGTGCTTTGGAAGGTGGCAGTGGGAGGAGGGGGAGGGGGAGGGGGAGGGGGAGTGGGAGTGGGAGGGGGCGGCAGCGACAACTCCAGGGCGGCGATTGCGGCGAGTGAGGCGATTCCATCGCTGGTGGCGATTCTACAGTCGCAGACAGACGCTGCAGTGAAGCAGGATGCTGCTGACGCCATTGCTCACCTCACAGCCAACAACGAGAAGAACCAGGTGAGAGTGAGAGAGGAGGAGGAAGGGGCGGGAGAGTGGGGGGCTCTGGGCTGGGCAATGCGTGGGCAGTGGGTGAACAGAGAGCAAAGCAACAAAGGGGATGTTTAGTGTCAATGCAAGCATGGAAGAAGGGTATAGGGCATGGCACCCACCCTCCCTGGGGGCGGCAACTCCAGAGCAGTGATCGCGACGAGTGAGGCGATTCCATCGCCGGTGGCGATTCTGTAGTCGCAGACAGACGCTGCAGTGAAGCAGGATGCTGCTGATGCCATTGCTCACCTCACAGCCAACAACGAGAAGAACCAGGTGAGGCGGAGAAGGGGGGTGGGTAGTAGTTAAGGGTTTGGGCAGCGTGCAGAGTGCTAGCGCGATTGTGCACCTCACAGCCAACAACGAGAAGAAACATAGGTGAGGGCGCGAGAGGGATAAGGGTGACTGGGTTTGGGCTCTAGTCTGGGCAATGCGTGGAGGGGGTTTGGGCATGTGCGGCTGCGATTGCACACCTCTCAGACAAAACGTAAAGAAACAAGTAAGGGCGCGAGAGGGGGGAGGGTTGGGCAGTTGTGGAGGGGGTGTGACAGTGCGTGCGTGGAGGGGGTTTGGGCAGTGTGCAATTGCGATTGCACACCTCACGGCAAACAGCGAGAAGTACCAGATGAGAATGAGAAAGTTAGGGAGGAGGGGAGGGGGGATGGGGCAGTGTGGGGAGGGCTGGGCTGATCTGTGAGTGGAAGAAGCAGATGCGATAGATAGCACACTTCACAGTTTACAATTATAAGATTTGTGAACCGTGAGAGGGGGGACAGGGGGGCCGAGAGGGTTTTTGAGGCGCCTCAAAAATGGTCTGTGAGTGGAAGAAGCAGATGCGATAGCACACCTCACAGTTTACAATGAGAAGATTTGTGAACCGTGAGAGGGGGGACAGGGGGGCTGAGAGGGGAGAGGGAGGGGGGAGAGGGGGGCCGAGAATGGAGGGAGAGGGAGGGGGGAGAGGGGAGCCGAGAGTGGAGGGAGAGGGAGGGGGGGAGAGGGGGGCCGAGAGAGGGGGGATCTATGCTGAACGTCAAAATGAGTTGGGTGTGGGGGGAAAGTGGAGTTGAGGGGAAATATTCACAGCCGTGCAGCTGCCACAAGTAGCAATGAACAGAACAAGTTTGGGACTTGCAGGTGAGCGAATCACCCGACAGCAAGTGTGCGCGTGTTTCAGCGAGACGGCAGCACAGGCAAGCAGGCAGCACAGGTGAGCAGGAGAGGTGGGCACGCTGGCAGTAGAGGTGGGCACGCTGGCAGGAGAGGTGGGCACGCTGGCAGGAGAGGTGGGCACGCTGGCAGGAGAGGTGGGCACGCTGGCAGGAGAGGTGGGCACGCTGGCAGGAGAGGTGGGCACGCTGGCAGGAGAGGTGGGCACGCTGGCTGCTGTCTCAGGGAGGAACAGCAGCGACAACAAGCTTGCCATTGCTGCTCTTCCTCCCTCCATCGCATACCCTCTTTCTCACCCTTCCATGCACACACCGTCTCTCGTCTCTCTCCACCCGCCCTACTCTCCCCTCATCCCCACTTCAGATGGCAGTGGCGGAAGCAGGGGCCATCCCAGCGCTGGTAACCATGTTACGGGATGGCAGCACGGGCGAGCAGGAGAGGGCGGCTCTGGCGGTGGGCACGCTGGCAATGAACACCAGCGACAACAAACTCACCATTGCTGCTGCCTTACTCACTCCCTCGCATACCCTCTTTCTCACCCTTCCATGCACACACCCTCTCTCATCTCTCTCCACCCTCCCCACCTCCCCTCTCTCCCCCCATCCCCCCAACCCTACCCCAGATGGCAGTGGCGGAAGTGGGTGCCATCCCAGCGCTGGTAACCATGTTACGAGATGGCAGCACGGGCGAGCAGGAGAGGGCAGCTTTAGCGGTGGGCCCGCTGGCAGTGAACAGCAGCGACAACAAACTCGCCATCGCTGCTGCCTTCACTCCCTCGCATACCCTCTTTCTCACCCTTCCATGCACACACCCTCTCTTGTCTCTCTCCACCCGCCCTACTCTCCCTACCCCCCCCCCCCTCTCCCCTCATCCCCACTCCAGATGGCAGTGGCGGAAGCGGGTGCCATCCCTGCGCTGGTAACCATGTTACGAGACGGCAGCACGGGCGAGCAGGAGAGGGCGGCTCTGGCGGTGGGCACGCTGGCAGTGAACAGCAGCGACAACAAGCTCGCCATCGCTGCTGCCGGCGCCGTGCCTCTGCTGCTCGACCTGCTCTTCCACTCCGTTGCTGCTGCTGCTGCTGCTGCTGCTGCTAACACTGCTTCTGCTGCAGGGCGATCAGGGCGAGAAGGGCGAGAAGGGCGAGAAGGGCAAGCAGAGCAAGCCTTCTCTGTCGAGCCTTCTCCTCGAGCAGCCACAGCATCGGTCTCTCTCCCACCCTTCCACTCCACTTTTTCGTCCTCCTCCGCGCCTCCTTTGCCTGCCGCCATTGCCAAGACCTGCGCCTGGACGCTCTACGTCCTCTCCTCCGACTTAGTCTCAGCCTCGTTCATCCTCGCTAATGACGGGCTCGAGATAGTGTATAAGGTGTACAAGGAGGGCCCGTCGGAGGCGCAGTTCTGGGCGGGACACATGCTGCAGCTGCTGGATCCCACGTTCCGCCGCCCGGAGAAGCAGGCTAGCTCTAGGAGGTATGCCTGGACCTCTCCTTCGTTGTCCTTTGTTCTGAAGCAGCAGCAGCAGCAGCAGTTGCAGGTGCAACAGCAGGCAGTGGTGCCACCGGTGCCGGTGCAGCAGTTTCCAAGAAACTTCTCAACTGATAGTCTTCAGCGTTCGCTCGCAGCACAGCAGCAGCAGCAGAGCCAGAATCAGAATCAGAATCAGAATCAGCAGCAGCTGGTGGCACGGGGTGCTCCCCTGCGGCCAAAAGTCCCGCTGCAGCATTCGCTTTCAAAGATTGGGGCAATGAAACAACCAAAGTCGCGATTTGTAACGCAGCGGTAGCGTCATGAGCTACGGTTCTTGCAAGAGGCGCCTCAGATCAGAAGCATGTGCAGTTGAGGATTGGGGCACTGCGGTGGAAGCCAAGGTCAATTTTTTAGGCCCCAAAAAAGCCATCACAGTTGTGTCGGATAAAAAAGCAAGTGCAGCATTCACAGTCGAAGATGGGGCATGAGGGCACTGCGGAAGCCAAGGTCGCAACTCAAACGGCAGCAGTAACGCCGCGAGCGAGCGAGCCGTGATCCGAGACGGGGGAGAGCTTTGCTTTGCAGTGCTTTGAGGCATCTCAAACCTCAATTTGCAGTGCCGATTGGCATCATGAAATGGGGAGATGATTGCAATGTTAAGGCTGTGGGGAGTGGGGGGAAAGGGAGGGTGGGGGGGAGGGGGGGGTGAGGGGAGTTTGTTGGAGAGCCAGGGGAGGAAGGGGGAGTGAGGGGAGCTTGTGGGAGGAACTGTGGCTGTGGGAGGAACGGTTGGGAGAGAATTGTGGAGAAATGTAGGGGGGGTTATGAGGGGGAGTGTGGGTGTGACAGCGAGTGAATGCGCAGTGGAAACATGGTCTTCTATGCATGTCAACATGCAATCATGCGGGCATGCAGTTTCAAGAGCAGGGACTGCACTGATAGGCAGGTAGGTAGATATGTGTGTGCTGCACTTATGGTTCATCTGTGACACAGACTGAGTTGGCAACTGTAGGTTCGCTTTCTTGAAGGTGCCTAAAGAATGGTACAAGCGATAGGCTGGATGTTAGGCTTGTGTGTGCTGGCTGATACGCTGGCACTTCAGTGTGGTAGAAGCTGTTTTGACATCTGTCTGTAGTTTGTAGTCTGTAGGGCTTTGCTGGTTTCTTGGCACAGCCAAATTGATGTCGTTTCTTTGGCTGTAGTTGGGCACAGGTGCTGGTTGGTTGTATACATGTAGCTTGGATAATAAATATTTATAGGCGAATGCCTTAGTGTAAACAGAGTTTGGAAACTCATTTTTTGGAAATTTCTCTATCAATGCAATATTCCATCCATGCACATATATGGTTCTAACTTCCTGAGATGCCATGTCACACAAATACCCCGCACCACAAACTGGTGCGACTGCTGTTGTTGGCACTGCTGCTGCTGCTTCCCAACCCAACGCCCATCACTTCTCCCTTCTCCTCACCCTTCTCCTGGCCCACACATCCGTTTCACCTGCCCAGCACCACTCACACCCTCACTCATGACCGCACCGCCCGTAGCCATAACCCCACCAGTGCTGCCCATAACCCCCGTGACCCCACTCCCGCCTCCACACTCCACACCTTTCCTCTTCTTTCCGCTCTGCTCTTGATCGCCTTCCCTTCGTTCCCCTTGCCCCTTTCCATCCATACGCATCACGCCACTGTCACTGCCCACCCCACCACCCATGACACCACCCACCCCACTGCTTATGCCACCATCCATACCACCGCCCACTCCACTCCCCACCCTACCACCCATCACCATCCCACTCCCAACCCTGCCACCCAATATCACCGCACTGCCTACCGCACTGCCCACCCCACTGGCTGTGTTAGCAGGTTCAGATCCACCCACTCCTCCACTCGTCCCTTCCACCACCCCTCCCCGTCTCCCTCCTCTCCTCCCCCTTCCCATTCCCCCCTGCGCGCTTCTCCTTCCACCCCTGCCTCTTCCGCCCGTGGCCCTCCCATCCTCCGCAACAACCACTCCCATCCCTTCAGCCCTTGCACTCTGCAAGCCCTGTATCCCCTGAATTCCCTGTATCCCCTGCGTCCCCTGAGTACCCTGCATCCCCTGCTGCGCGCCATTCTCGCCCTGCGCCCCTACAAACCGTGCATCCTGCAAGCCTTGCAGCCCCTGCACGCCCTGCATCTCGTGCGCACCTTCACCCCTTGCACCCTGCAACCCCAGCATCCCCTGTGCTCCCACAAGCCTCGAACCCTGCTCCCTCTGCTCCCTCTGCCCCGCCTCGCTCTGCACTACAGGCGATGCGTCCCGCTGCATGACCGGTGACGTGGCTAGCTGTGCTGAGAGCATGGGAGCCCGCTGGGATAGCAACAACACACTGCCTTGCTGCGGTAACGGTAACCACGTTTGAGGGGGCTGAGCTGGAAGCGCCTTGGTCTGCTGTGTTGGATTTGCTCCCAGACTATCCCTCTGCTGCATATACAAGGGCATGGGAGGCCGGTTTAATGAGGCAGGCGTGTTGCTGATACCGATGCTGTTGCTGATGCTGTTGCTAATGCTGCTACTGGCGGTCTGGTTACCAGTAGGAGGGTTACTGTTGCTGGTGTTGCTGGCGATCTGGTTACCAACACAGCTAGTGTTACCAGGCGGAATGGAGTTACTCTTATTCCCGCGCCCCCCACTCCCTCTACCACGACTGCGTCCTCTCTTACCCTCCCCACCTGCTCCTCTCCCCCTTCCACCCGCTCCCCCACTGCCTTCTGACCCTCTCTTACCCTCCCCAACCGCTTCTCTGCCTTTTCCAACCCCTCCCCCACTGCCATCTGACACTTGGCTGAGTGATTCCTGGTTCCCAAGAGAATTGGAGATACGGTTCAAAGGAGTGGGATTAAGAGAGGTAATTAGTGGTTGGTTAGGGATAAGAGAAAAGCGGTTAGTGGGAGGAGGAGGGTGCTGGGGAAAATGAAGGGAAGCGGTTGGTACAATTTTAGAGCCAGCAGCAGCACCACCACCAGCAGCAGCAACCCCAACTGCAGTACTTGCTCCGTTAGTGACTGCTCCATCATTAATACTCGCACCCAAACCCGGACCTGGATCCGAGCCTGACCCCAGGGCATGAACCAGAGGTCCAGGTGCCGAACCTGCTGCAGGAGGCGGTTCAGGTTTGGCATGAGGGTCTGGCTTTCTGGCGGGAAGAAGAAAATAGAACCGTTTATCCCCCACCTGCAGCAGCTGCTGGGATTTTAGCGGAATCGGGTCAGATCCAGAAGATTTCGACTGCCCGTCCACGTACACGCCGTTCTTGCCGAGCACCTCCAGGCGAAATTCGCGAGCGGCGAAATCGTAGAAGATCCTCGCATGGTTTCGCGAAACGTTCATTCCGCCGCCGAGCGCGGAGAGGTCAAGATCGACGGACGACTTTTTGCTGTTGCGACCAAGCACGACGGAATACGACTGCATGAAAAACTCGAAATCTTCGCCGTGAAGCTTCGCGAAACCCGCGCGAATCTGCGTCGCGAACGGCTGCGACGGCGCCGGCGACTGCGACTTCGCCTTCGGCGGCGGCGCGATTTGCTGTTCGCCCTGCGCTGGCCGCTGTTGCGGCTGTTGCGCCGATGGTTCCGCCATTGGCGGATTCGATGGGGGGACAGACTGCTGCGGGAGGAGCGGGAGCTGAAGCGAAGGCGGACGGAGGAGCGGATGTAGCTGCGGCTGCGGCTGCGAATGTGGCTGTTGCTGCGGCTGCGGCATGGCTCTGAAACGGACAGTGGCGGCTGCTGTACCTGGCGTTGCTGCTGCTGCTGCCGATGGAGCTGCTGCCGTGGTGGCTTTTGTTCTGAAAAGACCCGACGACCCCGGACATAGGGCTTTTCGAGAGTCGCTTTAGTAGCAGCCGTGCATTGGAGGTCAGGTGGACGGGGAGGAAGGAGTTCCTGAAACAGATTTCATATTTTCAGTTTTGAAGTTCAATGCATCTGAAATGGCCAAGATGAGTTTGAAAACCAGCGGGTGGGGTGGGGAAGGGGTGCTCCCTCGGCTCTAGCCCAGAAAGTGCGCCGTGTGTGGCGTACTGTAGTGCGTTTTGGTGTGGTTTGTTGTGGTGTCTTGTGGCGTGTTATGGTGCGGTGTGGCGTGGGTGGCTTCTGGCGGGTGGAGGGTGTTATGAAACGCAACAGCGAAGACGGAGAGTACCAGGGCAATTATGCTCCGAGCATGTTACAGTGTGACTGGATGAGCATTCTAAAACCGGAGGGCCAAGAAGGCCCAAATTGCCTCAACCTTACTAACCTTGGGAAGACCTCGCCCGAATCCCTCCGCGAAAACCCGTTCGCCCCTGCGGGTTTTCCTCGGAGGGATTTTCGTTTTCCCGCAGTCGCCTAGCGGGGCACGCGAGGGGCGGGAGCCACCCCCCCCCTCCCGCCCGAAAACGGGCAACCCCAGCTGGCGCCAGCTGCCGATGACGCCAGCTGCCCGCGCCCTCGAGCTGGCAGTGGTCCCCCTCCCAACCGAGCCCAACCCCTCGCTCGGTTCGTGGACGGGTTCCGTCCGGTAACCCACCCATCCCTCGCCGAGCGACGCATCGCCGACGGAACCAGTCCGCGAAATTTCGCCGGCCAGACGAAATCGACGCCCATCTGCGCCGCGCTCCACCGCTCTCGCCCTAGACGGGCCCGTTTCGTTCAAGCCGCTCGATCTTGGTGACGTGTCGAGGGCCCCCTCCCGAACCTTGGAAGGGGCCTTTCAGCTGCATGCAAGGCGGCCCACCCCATGCTACCAACAACCAGGTTTCACGTCGAGGCCAATAGGGCCCCGCCGGCCTCCGCGAAGAGCTCCTCCCTCCTCCTCCCGTGTCTCGGAACGCGCCCTGCCTCCTCGCCCTTGAACCCCCCTGGTCCGTCGCGGTGGGAGGGATGGCAAACAGCTAATACCCTGCGTCCGGTCTCATTTTGTTGATGTGTCCGATTTTTACTTCCCTACTTCCTAGTCCCTGCTAGTTCCCAACTCCCCTGCGCGCCCGCCCTCTCCACTGTTAGGCCTGACATGGCTACGGGCTCCGCCTCCGTACCCGTCATGAACGAGGCGACGGTTCGACGCGGCCTCATCCTTAGTGCAGGCGGGGTTGAGGTGGAGGTGTACGAGGACCAGCTGAATGCGATTAGAGAGGCGCCAAAAGGGGAGCTCGATGAGAGCATGATGGTCGCAGGCGTCGTGTACGTGTCCTGTCGAACATTTTCGGTTTGCCATGTTTGCCATTTCCGCTGACGTTGCCTTAGCTTTCCGTGCAGCCTGTTCTGTCATGAGATGCTGTCCGTCGAGCAGCTCCCCAAGGTGTCGATCGTGACTCCAGGGCGTGCGCGTGAAGAGATGGCCCGTCCCACCCCGGTCGCTTTTGCGAACAACCACCTCGACGGCCTCCTCGGCAAGCAAGTGGTTTTCGTTCTACTGCGGACACCGTGAGTTCGACACTCTCCCGTCGCCTTGCGTGCTCCGTCTCTAGCCCTGAACCCGTTCTCACGTGCATTGGCTTTGCATGCAGACTGAGTGTGCCTCCGTTCTCCCACTCGAGCCTGTTTGTGGTATCGCGCCCCGACGATCTGCTGGCTCCGAGGCACCGTGGCAGTCGAACTCGAATGATGCACTTCGATTCGAAAGACAAGTTTCCCGATATGAACCACCAATCTTCTCTGGCGCAAGAAGTTTTCGTGTGAGTGACAGCTTTGCCACCCTGCTGTCGAGCTGCTGTTCTCGACAATCTTACTCTTCTGTCCGCTGCGTCGCAGGTGGATGAAGAAGCAACTTCGCGCCGAGTACGCGATGACCCACCAGGCTCTGACCGAGTACGCAATCGACGGAGACGTCAACTGCGGCCGACCTGTCGCCTCGTCGGTCTGGTACACGCTGGAGGGCTAGAGGGTCACACAGGGGGGGGTGAAGAGTGGTGAGTTTTGGGGCTTAATGGGGGTGAAGGTTATCATGGATAGCACCGCATGTTTGTACCCCTGCTGAATTAATACAAAGGACCGTTTGAGAGAGAGAGAGAGAGAGAGAGAGAGAGAGAGAGAGAGGGAGAGAGAGAGAGAGAGATAGAGAGAGAGAGAGAGAGAGAGAGAGAGAGAGAGAGAGAGAGAGGGTCTGACTGCGGAGGGGGTGCAGGGGGAGCAGGGGCTGCCCGATCCACCGACGCCAGCAGTGGCAGATTCCCCGCCAACTCTCGAGGAGACTGAGATTGCGGCGGTCGTGGCTGAGGCAGCGAGGCAACAAGGACAACCCCCGAGCGAAGCGGGCGCGCCGAGTGCCGCTGTGTCCGCCGGAATGCCTGCTGCTGCTGCTGCGGCCGCAAACACGCAGGAGCTCGGCCAGGCGGATGGTGGAATTGAGGGCCCCGGCGAGGAGGAAGACGAAGTTGCGCGCGCAGCCAGCATCGAGGCGGTATGGAGCAGAGCCGGGACCTGGGGCCCCGGGACCCCTCCTGGGCTGGCTTCGGCAAGGGCAGTCGCCACCAGAGCAAGCGCATTCGTTGCCATCAGCGCCACAGCCTGTGGAGGGACCCAGCATGAGGAGCAATATGGGTGAGGTTGGTCAAGCACAACGGGGCGCCGAGCAGTCTAGTCCGAGGCAACAACCAATTATCACACCCACGACCCAGCAGGAAACTCACTGAGAAACGCGGAGCTCAACGCAAGGCCGGGGAATCGTGTGGGGCAGGCCGTCAGGTGCGGGACGAGCGACTATGGCAACCCCCTGGGTCTCGGCTGGTAGGGGTTTAAGGTCTGCATAGGAGAGCGCGAGGGGCGGCGGTGACGGCGTACTCCCCGCGATCCCCCGAGGAGGAAAAGGGGGAAGGGGAGGGACACGCAGTAGGGGAGGGACACGCGGAAGGGGAGTTGCTCTTCTGGGGGGAGAGGCCGCGATCGTGAGATCAGGCACGTGGCGTGATCGCCACGACCGTCCAGAGCAGGTGGTTGCACCTGTGATTAGGGGCGAGGATGTTTCTGATAACTCCCAGAATGGGAGCGAGTTTATCCCGTCGCACACTGAGGCATCGAAGGAGGTCTCGCTGGGCGATGACGAGAATCAGATAGTGTTTGAGCAGAGGCGAGCGAGAAGGGGGGAGCAAGGTGGTATGCCACATCCCCCCAATATGCCGGCAGGACAGGCCGCAGATGCGCGTTCTCGGCCTTCCGAGAAATCACCCGCTGAGCTGGCGAAGGATGACTCTATCTGGAAACTGGCCAGCATTTGGGATACCGCGCCACTTCAGCGAGCAGACCAACCGTTTCTGGTGAGACGGTTGCCTCCAAAGGTCCTGGAAATCTACACCCTGTGCCTTCTGGCACCACTGTTGCGGCTAGCCACACACCCGGACTGCGTGGGGGCGTGGACTGTGCTGCAGTTCTTGCCCCGTTTGACCCTTCGATCTCTCCCAGAGCCAGTGGAAGGGAACCGCTGGATAACGATTGAGACTTGGCTGCACCACTTCCGGCTTGGGGACCTGGCCGATCTCTACAGTGCGGCGTGCGTGATCCCCGATACTGGAGCTCCGACACGCCATCAGCCAGACGAGGCAGGCCTGTGTGCGCGAGCAGAAGGGCTGATAAAGAAGGCCAACATTTCAAAAGCAGTGTCTGCGTTGCAAGTGACCCCGCTAGCGGAACCAATACCCGCTATACTCGCGGCCTTATGGGCAAAACACCCTGTTGGGGAAATACCAATTCCGAGCTGGATAACCACTGGGGCGCCAGCCTCGTCTTTGAACCTGACCCCAAGCGACGTTCGCGAAATACTCGCGAAGTGCCCGAATGGAGTTGGAGCTGGGCCCTCAGGCACCTGTTTCGAGCACTTGAAGGACCCGGCCCACTGCAGCGCGGAAATCCTCCTACTCCTCACCAAGGTCATCGGCCAGCTTCTTAACAGCGCACAAACGAGAGAGATACGGGACATCCTCCTTCCGTCCTGGCTGATAGCACTCAAGAAGCCAGGGGGGGGCGTACGACCTATCGCTATAGAAGAGGCCCTGCTTAGGGTAGCAGCAAAGGCGGCACTACGCGAGTTAGCCCCAACGATTCGCGAATTCTTCCTCCCTGTACAGTATGGTGTGTCCGTGCCGGGCGGAGCCGAGTGCGTCATCCACACTGTACGCGCTGTACTCCGGGTACACGAACACTACGTCGCGCTTTAGCTGGATATAGAAAACGCGTTTAATTCGGTTGAGCGGGAGGCGTTTTTCTCGGCACTAGAGATCTCGGACCTGCACCAGCTGCTGCCGTTCGTCGGAACTCTGTATGACTCACCATCACGTCTTCTGGTCGACCCGGCCCTAGGAGTGGAGCACATTATGAGCTCCCGCGGCGTGCGTTAGGGTGATTCCCTTGGTCCACTCCTCTTTGCAGCGGCGATCCAGCCGGCCCTAATGTGCACAGCAACTATGCACCCAGGAGTAGCTGTCGTAGCGTACGCCG